ACAGCGATCGGTTGGAAAATTATTTACCGGACAGGTATGAGATGGCGCGTGCAACAGGTGCAGCGGCAAGAGAGGGAGGTCGGGCGCCGCGCATAGGCTACTCTCCGCAATTCCGTATTTGTTCTTGATCGCCGATTAAGCGGCAGATTTCGAAATTGGGCTCGGGATAATTCTATTATCAACGCCGACGAGAGAGCCATCCGCGCGCTGATGAAGGTTTAACGTGCGGGCTACGTCTCCGTCTGTCCGCCTACGGGGACGACGGACGAATACGCTCTATCGAGGAGGACATTTTTGCCGTAATCCCGCCGCGGCCGCCGTCTCAATTCTCGCCGCGAAGTTGGCCGGCACTCGACGTTCCAGTTTCAGAGCCGCGCGCGCATCTCGAATTCGCTCGTCGAACGTGAAACAGCGTTCGAATAATCATCCGCGATTTTTGCACGGACTTGTAGACTCAGCCTGTGCCAATTTTCGGTATCGAGCGCGTTCATCTTCTTCTTCGGCATGAATTGGTGAAAAGCTCCCTATTGACGAATTTCGTACTCATGCAACTCATGCTTTTCACGTTTCGCGCGAGTTCACGTTAGGGGGAAATAATACCCTGATGCGAAAGATTTGAAGACAAGATACGAAGACAAGACACAGGAAGACAAAGAACGGCTATATCATTTCTTTTATTGTCCGTAGGCGTTCTGTCTTTGTCCAAGTTTTTTCCGATAAGAAACTAGACAAAGACACTTCGCAGCGTCTTGTGGAGGATCCAGTCTGGGTAGACTCAGTCTATAGATTTTTGCTTATTTTGTAACTTTTTACGACAATACGACGTTTTTGCCGACGTCGCGTGCAATGGTAAAGGACTTTTTGTTCAGAATGACTTGATCTACAATTATATGGCGGCTATTGTGCCTAGCGACAGATGCAAAATTCAGGGTTCAAAGCTCAAGACACTCATGTCCATTATAATAACTTAATAATAACTGTTGCGATTTTTGCAAAATGGTACTTGACTTTTCTTCTCAGTTCGATCCGATTAATCTTCACAATTTTTTGTTTCCAAAAAATCCCGGACACTATATGTATAAGGAAGCTATATAACAATGACGTAACGATAATGACACCGGGTGCTGCCCATTGGTGGACGACACAAGTCGACGTCATTTTTCTATGTTTTGCGAGAAACAGAAATAAGGTGACTCTTGCATCGCTAAATGTATAATAGGCTTACAGTACAGATCACGATTCAGCAGGCTCGCGGTGCTCGGCGGTGGCAGTACAGTTTTCAGACAAAGTTAAGAAATAATGCAGCTTTGCGAATAATGAAGCTTCGCGGATACAAGTTTCGTGCGCGCAACCTAACCGCGTTTGGCGTTCGCAAGTTCCCCATCGAACTGCGCGTAGTTCGCGACGCATCGCGTAATTTACCGTGAGCACATTTATCGTATCTGATGTACGTTTACCGTTTATCTCGTAGCCTCGAACGAACCTCGTCTGAGATTAAGCGACAGGTTTTGAAACTCAGTCAAGTAATTCCATTACCAACTTGTCAATGAACCGCGAAGCTTAAGCTCGGCGTTCTATTCCGCGCCGCGGCGCATGTAATTTATCGACCAAATAACTCCGTCCGGTATAATAAAGCTTTGAAGCCGACGGGCCCCGACGTGTGGCAAACATAAAAAACTAAACGTTAAAAGTTGATCCTGCCCTGCGACATAAAATGTTTTATTTCGCCCCGTAAAAAGAGAGAATGTCTCCGCTCGAGAAAAGGCACTCTCGGAAATTCGCCGCGGACGTACGTCGCGCGGCAAAGTTCGCGTCGAAGGAAGCGATATCGGGACGCGCGCGGCATCGCGCAATATCGCGGGCTCGATGATTGAAAGAGGAGAAAATTAAGCGGGAAAAATTGCGAACGACTCCGCCGTGTAGATCGTGTCGTTGTGAAGAGCGCGACAACGTTGCGCGGAGGTACACACACGTCGGCTCTCAGGACGTTGCGGTTTTATGCTTTTGCAATTCAATTTTTACGTGCTCTCCCGGCATCATGAGCTATATAACAGCGTACACGGGGAGAACATCCCTAAACACACACTCCCGGAATATTGGTCGAATATCCGCTGGGACAGCTTATTTATCTCGGGGAATATACACCCACGTTTCTCATTCGGCGGCGCGGCGGCGAGGAACGTCAAATAGGCCGCTTCCGCGAAGAAGACTCCTCAACAATTTACCACGGGGTAAAGGAGTCTTCGCGCGACGAGCAACAATGCAACCGGGAGCTCAGCTCGCGAGAATGGAGCGCTACTTTGTCGGGTGTGTTCATATCCATTATGAGCTCGGCCGGCGCGCGTATCGTGAATTATTTATAGCGAGAAAGCATGACGAACGCCCGGCAGAACCGACTTTCGCAATTTCGCGGAGTCTCCGTGTACTCTCTCTCTCTCTCTCTCTCTCTCGCGACTCCGCTGCGGCCGCCGCGCCGCGGCCGAACGTTTCATTCAATTAAAATCCCATCGAAGCGCGATGAAGCGCTCTCTTGTGAATAAATTAACGCGCCGCTTCGTTCATTTTTCACCGTACGCGATCAGCATACGCGTTCCGATGACGCGATGAGCGCGAGCACTCGGAGAACGATAAGAGGACGAGAGAGAGAGAGAGAGAGAGAGAGAGAGAGAGGGAGCTTGGGCTTGTTAGCCCGCTTGTCGCTACAGCCATGGCATGACCATTCATCTAGCACAGTCCGCGTCCTTCAGCGATATTTCCTCGACGCGAGAATTCCGCCGGAGGATTTCCAGTCGCGTCGCTTCGCTTCGCACGCTCGAGTTCCTTGAACGATTACTCAAATATGCGCATCGGCGAATAAACTGCCGTCCGTGTGCGGCGCGGGCGACACGACGCGAGACAGATGCCGCATCACTGAGCGCGCATTTAGCGCAAGCTCTATCAATACCCAGCTGTTGCCCAGCCACCTCGCACGCGCATTCGGTTGTACCCTCCTGCCGCAGCCCTCCTCTCGTTCGCGCTCCTTCCCGCTCGTGTATTATAATTTCGAGCAATTATCCGAGTTGCACGCATTGTCGCAGACGCGCGCTCCTCCTCCTCCTCCTCCTCCTCCTCCTCAGATGTTGGTCTCATTAGCGTTTATTAATGCAGTTTCCTCGTTGGTACAAATCGTCATTTTGTCGACAGCGTCAGCTCGCGCTGTTTACAACATTTAAAATCCATTTGCCGCGCGGCCGCGATCAAATGGATGATTCCGCGCAATTACGGCGCGCGCGCGCGCGCGCGCGAACGAATCATTTTCGTTGGTGGTTAACAATTGAAACATTATTTGCTTTGTCATGTTATTTTCGTTCGTTCGCCACTCTTCCGTTTGACTTTGCGCAATTTGCCACTTGCGCTCGTGCAACGTGCGTGCCTCGCACGGACCGGAGCGCGTGTAAAGCGAGCGTTTGTCCGCTGCCTCGTTTTCATTTCTTCAATTGTAGCGCGATAAGCTTTCCGGTGCAATCTATTGATTCGGATATCGGGACTTCGCGGGGACGCGCATGAATTCGTTATTGCGCTGCATGCGCGGCGGCAGCGCCGCGGGGGTTTTACGCAAATTCGTTCGTCCTTAGTAATTTCATTTTACGAATAGCGCCGCGATGGCGCGTCATCGAGCGAGCGAGTAATGCGGGTAGTTTGTTGTCCCCCCCGTAAAGCGTGTTTGCAATCGAGATTAATAGCGAGCGCCCAAGGAAATGGAGATGACTCGTGTTACGGCCGCGAATTACGGGGCTGACAATTATTCCGCTTTCGCGGATTGAGCGGTAATAAAGGCGCGCTTTTTCCCTCTCGTTCTCGTTTGCTCATTAGTTCGCGAGGACGCGCGCCGCGCTTATGCTCGTCGGTGACTACTCGGTGGGTGTTAGTCGCCAGGCTCGATTCCACGAACGAGCCATCGTGCGACTTTAGCGCCGATAAACAGCGCGAATCACTTTTTGCGGGCGCAGCTGCGGGTCGGCGAGATTGTTTCGTCGCCGCGCCGCGGATGCGATCGATGCTCATGCGGCACGACGAAATAAAATCGCTTTTAATTGTTCCCGAGCGCTCCGCTGATATTTCGCTCGAGATCCCCCACTTATTAATAAAACCCATCCGCAAAAACGCTCTCGCTGTCGCGAGGGTTTTACGAATGCGCTTATCTCGAACGCGCGTCCGTGAGAACAATTATTCCCCTCTCGAAGCTTTTGCAGCGGATTGGGCTTACGTTCGTTCGTTCGTTCGTTTGGCCGCCGCGCCGTCCGCGTTCTACGAGAGAGAGAGAGAGAGAGAGAGAGAGAGAGCGAGTCGTCGATCGCGAGGCTCACTTTCGGCAAGTAAAATTTACATAGTTGATAAATGACGCGAGAAAGACGAGGGGAGCCCAGATATCATCGACGCGGGTAATGAGCGCTGATAACGCGTAGACCTCATTTCGGTACAATCCCGGCTGCCTAACACACTTTCCAAGTCCATTGTCCCGACTGGAGGGGCGTCGCTCGTCCGACGTGTTAATAATCGTCGACTTTCACCATTAAACTTTCCGCTTTGAGCCCGATGACGTGAAACGCCGGCGGTGTTACGTATACGGGCATCGACATATTATTGCGCGCGTCGTTCTCGGCTCTCGCTCTCTCTCTCTCTCTCTCTCTCTCTCTCTCTCTCTCTCGCGTGTGCTTGCTCATGACCAATAAAAGAGAGTGTATCATCCGATCCATCATTCTTTCGAATAGTTCATCGGGGACGTAGCCTTGGCTCGTCTCGCTCTCTATTCCGCCGATGGACCTCTCTCTCTCTCTCTCTCTCTCTCTCTCTCTCTCGCTTGCGACCTGTATTCGCGCACACGATGCATTCGGTTATTCAGCGCCGGAGGCGAGAGAGGTCTAATATCGATATTTCCCTCATGATAAGAAAAAGAAAAGAAAACATCGTCGATCCTTTCGTCACGAGGGACCTAACAGGTGGGCGTTTGTGTGTTTCAGAAAGCGCGTACGAAGATGAGGAGCAATTCGCCAGGGGCGGTACAACCCCTGGTGAAGGCGTTGTCGGTGAAGAGGACGACGGTCCAGGCGGAGGTGGCACGGACTTCCCTCTGAGAATGGCGGCCCTCGACACAGCGAGGGGTCGAATCACCACCGTCGGTGGCTTCCTCAGAGGCGCCGGGCAGCACGTGAATTTCGACCCCGAGGCGCCTCCACCGCCTCTCCATGTCGCTCAACAGCAGACAACCTGTCTGCTCGAGCGGCCGGAAGTGGACAAAAAAGTCAAGGTATCGGACAAACGTCGAATCGAATTTCAGCTTCCGTTGAGGAGGGAGCAGCGATGTTCGCGTGCGGGCGGAAACGAACTCGCTGTCGTCTGCTACCTCGGGGGAGTCGGCATCAAGTTTTATGTATTCAACGAACAGATTGGGTTGAGATTCTTATACTTCCTCGAGAGCAGCTCGCTCCTTTTGCGCCGTTAAGCATCGCGCGATGGACATATCTCCCTCGCCGGCCAATTCATCTTTTATTTATAAAGCTCGTTTCCTCCGCTCGTGTCTGCGCCCCGGCTGCGATTGTCGGCGCAACAAATACCTCGGCCCGCAAGAAGCGTGAGAGCCGCGCGCTCGGTGCGGTTACCAATTTAAATCGCGAAGTCCGACCAGCGACGGTCCAGCGAGCGGAAAGGTTATCGGGTCGTAGATTCCCCCGGCTACTAAGAATAAGTCGCGCGCGCGCGCGCGCGCGAGCGGTTTCCGTCCCGCATAAATCTCCCGTTCTCTGCGTCGTCGGGAAGCTCCATCGAGTCTGACGAGAGCCGCGGAAAGAAACAGGAAAGGCGGCGGCCGATAACGACGTTCCGATGCCGATCCAATTTGCGCGCGGTTTGCTGCCGCCAGACAGCGGCCGTCGAAACAGCGGCAGCGCGCGCGGGGGTGAAACGGCCGCGCTCTTCTCTTCCGCGTCCTTTATTGGCACGCCGGTAGTTGGCCCCGATAGCGATTTGCCTCTTCTGCCTGACCGTCTCCGGCGGTCCAGGGGTGCCGCGGTGCGAGGAAACGCGAGGAAGGGGCAGCAGTCGCCGGGGCCGGGTCGAGCGAAATTAAAGCTTAATGCTGCTTCGATAACCGCGTCCAGCGCAGACGACGCGATAGACCGGACGATTATTTTTGCATAGGGTCGAACACTCGCGGGGCATGTGTGATATCTCGGCCGGCGATTGATCGGTACACCACACGAACATTTAACCTTCGAATAAGGCCGAACTCTCCCCCGCCCCCTCCCCCCCCCGCTCGTGCTCGACCGAATTCCTCGTACCTTGCCGTCCCCTACAAGGCTGCATTATTTAGCGACGAGAGGAGCCGCGAATAGTTTGCTCCGATTGCCGAATCATTTCCCGCGCTTTTCTCGAATAATTCATGGTATTGTCTCGCGCGCGAGAGAGAGAGAGAGAGAGAGAGAGAGAGAGAGATGCGCGCCTCGGCTGACGAGGATGGTCCCAGGGGGGAGAGTCGAAGGACACGCGCGATCGCTATTCGGCTTGTTCTTTTTTTTATGTATCTTTTTTATGTACGGTTGGTCCAAGTCGAAGGGATCGTGCTGAGGACGAAATACGAGACGGAAATCTCGCGCGCGTTTCCCGGGACTTCCGCTCGTCCGGACTAGCCGCGACGGAGCGTTCGCTTCTTTATCGTCTCTCGTAAAACGACGAGTAGGCGGGATTTCCGAAAAGGATCAGATACGGCACGCCCGGCCGCCCTTCCGATTTCCCGCTTCCGGGATACCATCTGATTACGCCGTCGTAACTTGCCGTCGCTTCGGAACGCACTCTGCGCACGAGACGCACTGCGTGCGGGCGCGAGCACGTTTAATCTATTCGGGGATGAAAAGCTGCAGCGCGCACGGCACGCTTTCATCTTTTAGTGCCTCGTAAATGTCCCCGAGTGAGCTCGCGCAGCGAGACCGCGACCACTGAATCCCGATGTATCACGTGACCGAATTTTGCGCCCGCCCGTCATTGATGACTGATTTGAATAACGCGACGCGGGCTAGGGAACACTCGATCGGAGATGAGAATTTGAGCGAGAGAGCGAAACCGCTCGCTCCGCGACACCCGACGACGCCAGTTCCGTGACAGTCTACGAACTTTTAATCGCGCGACTTTGTTAGTCGCGTACATGGAAGCGCGACGCTCGCTATAGAGCCTGCCATTATTCCAATGGACTTTCAGTTGCGCCTCGCTCGACGAGAGTTTTTTCGCTCGCTTAATTTATGTAGCGTCGCTCGTATGCGCCCTCATAAATATGTTAGCGAGTGACAATGGATCACCGGACACACACACACACACACACTGCGGAAGATGGTAAAAGTATAATATATCGTCATAGTTTGTCATCGATGAAAAGAGAGAGAGAGAGAGAGAGAGAGAGAGAGAGAGAGAAGAGAGAGAGAGAGAGAGAGAGAGAGAAAGAACGCAGCCTCGTCACACACGCGAGGCGCGAATGTAACAGGTACAAACGGCAGACACGAACAGTCGGCCGCAGACTGCCGCAGTGGTTACAGACAGTGCACGTGCAGACAGTGTATGCGCCGGCGGAGACAGCCGCCGAATGCAGCTGGTAGAAACAGAGAGCGAGTACGGGCAGCAGACGGCAGGCACCTAAGCGGCCGCTCAAGGCAGTAGATAGAGCCCGTGCGGTCTGAGGCGTACGCGCGAAGTAGGTTGACGGAACAATAGGCGCGCGTGTGCCCAGCCGATTAATCGTCGCACTCGGCACTAATCGTTGCGCGATAGGTCCGACGCGAGAATTGAGGACAGATCGCTCCTTCTTGCGAGCGCAAGTTCCACGCAGCGTCTCTCTCCGCGGCCGAGTAGAAAAATTAATAGGGCTCTGGTTAGGTCCTGATTATTTGTCCCCAACATCAATCGGGCCCTAGTAGGGGTAGAAAGACAAGGACCCTACAAGATGTGCAACAAAAGATTCAATGGGTCGTTGTAAAGCAATATTACGAGGGCATATTATAAGAAAATATTTTTATTATCGCTTGAGTAAAAATATTTGTTCTTTTTATTCCAAGAAATTTAGATTGTAATCTCTTTGTTTCTTCAGCACGTTGTTAGTATACAACAAAAATTTTTTAAATATAGCATACTTTATATACACAGGAAAATCCTGCTACTGTTTTTACTAAGGTTTGCTACATTTCCAGACGAAGGCATAGACTAGAAAAATCCTTGGAAGAGACTAATGAATATGGCAACTAATAAAACTAATAAAATTTGTTTTTAATCGCGGTATAATTAGAAAATCTTTAAAAAAACCAGATAGAGCGTACCTACTAAAACAATACTAAACTATGATAATTTTATTACACGTTTCAGATCTTATTAATTTTCTATAACAAAACCTGATTTTGTATATTTAAAGCATCCTTGAAGGATCCTTCTAAGGTTCTTCTCAGCTTTCTCTATCAAAGCTTTATTTATTAAGTCTAAAGCATCCTTAAAAAATTCTTCTAAGGTCCTTATTAGCTTTATCTATCGAAGCCTTATTTCATAAGATCTAAGGCATCCCTAAAAGATCCTTCCGAGGTTCTTATCAGTTTTCCCTATCAAAGTCTTATTTATTAAATCTAAGATGTTCCCTAAAAGATTCATCTCGGACGCTGTAATGTGGTAATAATGAGGCATCCCTTTTCAGGGCATCCTACTTTCAGCCTTATCGGGGCCTTATACTTCATGAGAATGGCCCTAACAATTTTTTTGCTCGGGGTAAAGCAGCGGATTCTTCCTTCCGAGTCCTTCCATTCCTCGCAGCGCGCCACTCGACGAGCAGCCGAGTTCACGCCGGATGACTTTTCTCTCTAGATAAGAGAGTCGTCTCCTCAATTTCCGATAATGAAATGACCGATAATCGAATTGCACTACAATTTTCGATAATTAAATTACAAACGCGAGTTACCAGCTGAGAGGCGGGAATGCGCTTTCGCCGAGTCTCCGTTTCGGTAAACGGAGAGTATCCATCGTGTTTAACGGGAACGTCTGACGGGATGAGGACGATTCTGTTGTTCATTGAGTCGCTCTTCGCACCCTGCGTGCGTCGACATAGGTCGAGTAACTTCCTCGAGGAATCCCGGGATTTGCAAGCCGCGTTAGCTCACGCTGCTCGACATGAGCACGCCGAGATCCGAAATCCTTTAAAGTGCCCCTCTGTCCCTACTTCCCCCTCCTCTCCGCCCCCCGCTCTCACCACACAAAGGCACTGCCGTGCGTTGTATTTAATCCACGACGACACCGAGCGAGATGCCGCGCGACACCTCGCAGTGAGCGTGGTGTTGAATCTAATCCCCGTTGTTCGTAAATCCGAGAACGGCTTGCCGACGGAACGGACGGGAGTCTTTCGACAGAACGCCTCGCTCCTGCGAACTCGCCGTTTCCGAGGGGGAAGTGGCGGGGTTTTTCTTGTGAAAACAAACGTGCCGAACAATAACGATGAGGAATTCACTCTCGAGGGGAGGCGGATCAATATCCGAGATTGAGGCCGTCGATACAATCCACGCGCGAAGCCACCGGTCTCTCCCGTCTCGCCCCGCCCAACCCCTGCCCCTTGCCTCGAATATTCCCGCTCTGAGCCCCCTGATATCTCTCCGCGATGGAACACGGTGAAACGCGAAAGCACTTTCCCGAGCTCCCTCTCTCTCTCTCGGGGAAGTATCTGCGGCCTCTATGGCAACGCTTTCAGACCGCGCTCCGGGCGTCTTATTCGACGTTACTATTCTTCGCGGCTCGTTTAAAGAAACGGGCGGGAATATAAAGTTAGTTTGTTAGTCCGGGACGCGGCGTGCACAATCGCGCGCGCGCGCGCGCGCGCGTTCTACTTCAACGACGATATAGCGGCGATGTAGCTGCAATTAAAGACTCGGCTTCCGTGACGTGCAGTATTTCTCTCGTAAATCCATGGCTACAATTCTCCGAGCCATAAGCGCGAGCGCGAACGCCGCCGCCGCTTTCTCAGGTCATAAAAATCTCAAACTAGTTTATTCTCCGAGAAAAGAGAGAGAGAGAGAGAGAGAGAGAGAGAGAGAGAGAGAGAGAGAGAGAGAGCGAGCTAACGACGGGGGAGAAGAGGCGGACGGAGCCGGGGGCGAGCGAAGGGAGACGGAGAAAAAAGCGCGTGTCCCAGCGCGACGAGCTTGGCACTCGGCTTTGAGATACCGAGAGACATAATACCGCGAAGGCCGCTACTGACAACGAGTGTTTGCCAGGCCGCGCCTTAATTGTCGAACCGGCGCACCCTCGACAAACAGCGTCCATCATACATACTCCGCACGGCCCTAAGGCCCGCGCGCGCGACCCTTTTTCGCTCGCGATGGTTGCGCGCGCGCGTTTTGCGTCCCTCCTGAAAGTAGACTCATCAAGGTCTCAGAAGCTACGCCTCGCCGTCGGCGACTCGAAAGTCAAGCGTCGACACGACGTCGCCGTCGCAGGATTGCGTCGACGATCACGCGTGTGTGCGTGCGTGTCCGTCTCGGCGACGCATCGCGCACGTGTTTGGCGATTGGGTTTCGCGCAATGTAGATCGCCGTTATCGCGCGGACGAACGACAGATATTATGATCGGCGTATGAATTCGCGAGAACCGACCGGCTCGTATGCACACACACACACACACACACACACACACACACACACGCACACACACATACGCGCGCGCGCACACGCTTAGGCGACGCGATGGTTTTCCAGTGATTCTCGATAATCGATAGTAAAATTGCTAATTCACGGCTTTGGATATCCATTTCGTTGGACGCATCCGCGCTCGTGACAATGTAAAATTGATTGCGACGAGGTGCACGTGCGCTTCTCTCTCTTCCTCTCTTTCTCTCTCTCTCTCTCTCTCTCTCTCTCTCTCTCTCCCTCTCCACGTCGGATTGCGTAAAATAAGCCGTTAAACGGATTTTATATTTATGTCCCACGTCCGAAATAGAATCGGACTAATTTGTACACGCGCAAACACAGCGAGATATAATTTGGCCGGTCGTAACGATAATTTCCATTCCCCGTGCCCCGTGATAAAGCTCCGCGTTTTATTCTCGTCTCAGTAATTTCGATATCAACCGCGGACCGCGGCAGGGATATTGTTTTACGCTTGATAATTTGATAGCGTAACAAATTAAGTTCGACGAATCTTCCTGGCGCACGAGCGCACACACCGCGCGCGCGTTTCCGTTTCGTCTTGATTACGGGAGCGAGTGTTGCGTCAGCAACTGTGCGACTCCACCACGGCGACGCGGTTGCAAAAGAGTGACAATTACCCGATGTAGAGAAAAATCGTCGTGGGGAGGAAAACGGAGTCGATTGAAAAGTCGCCGCGGACAGGGCCGATTGATTTCCACCGAGCTGAACTTGGACTTTGGATTCGTCGACGTATTCGCTCGTAGAAGCGAACGATTACGATGTAAAGCACGCTACGGGCAATTTGTGTTACACATTCCTCGAATGCAGTCATCAGAGACTGCGATTGAGCCTTCCAGCCTGGCGTATTTCGCCTCGTTAACTGCTTTCTGCCTCCCTTTCTCTCTCTCTCTCTCTCTCTCTCCCTCTCTTTCTCCCTCTCTCTCTCTCTCACATACACACTCTCACACTCTCTCTAGCATGCGGATATATCCGCTTTCCAAATGCTGCATCCAAATTCCGCGTGAGCGCTGCACGAAGCTGTGTAGCGTGAATCGCGCGGTTACAATAACGAGACGACTGTGCGACGAGAATGGCGCGGGGAGCTGAAACGGCGGGACATATGTGTAACTTAATGCGCGTTTGGTGTAACCCGCGACAACCCGCACAGTGTACCGGATAAGTAGCGCACGAAAATATTTAGAGACGGACGTCGCCGGCGGACGGTACGTGAGAAGAGCCGTGCGAGCGCGGCTCGCGACGAGACGAGAGTAAGGGAGACGCAAAGGAGAAAAATACGACCGACTTTGCCCGCCCCCCTCCCCCCCTCCCGTTGAATGCGCCAGCGGCCACGGAAATTGCGGTTTTCAAACATTGTTTATCTTGCGAGAATGTCCCTCTTCACGTAATTCGCATTTGCATGGAACATTTGATTAAACAACAGCTGCTCTACACCGCCGTCGTCGCTGCTTCCAAAACGCCGTGCTCATTCTTAATTCACCTCGATCGTTGTTGAATTCCTCATAGCCGTGTACTACGGAAGAAAGAGCGTACATCTTGGCGTACATTTGGAAGTATAATATGAGATTATTGCATTTCCAGAGACACAGCATACACGGCATGATGGAGGAAGAGAACGTGGTGAGGCCCCACCAGGAAATGGCCAGCCTCTCGCTGCAGGAGAAGAAATATCTTCTCGCTGTCGAGCGTGGAGACGTGGCTTCCGTCAGAAGGCGAGTGGAAATTTATGGTTACGAAATTTATATTTTGTCCGTCTTGTCGCTTTTCACTGGGAATTGGGATAGGAGGGAAGGCCGAGAGAAAAGTGAGAAGAAACTTTGCGAGGATTTAATATAGTTTATTCGTTAACTGCGATCGCTGTCTTTTGACAGTCTAGAAATATTTTCGACGGGTTTTACAGGCTTCGTATGCATATGCAAGTGTTTCAGAATAATAGGTAGAGGCTTGATCCTTTGATAGAAATTAATCCGCGAAAGCAAATAGAAATGTCTTGATAAACGCAGATTCTGGATAAACGCAATTGTTCTGTAAAATATTCGGCTGCTCATTTCGCAAATTACGGTATTTGCATTATACATTATTATACATGTAGTGGAACGGTCAGTATATTTAAAAAATTGAGACGTGTAATTATTATAATTTTAGTATTTTTTGATTCAACCATTGGAGTCGGAGATGACATCGTGCGTCGGATGTAAAATAGAAGAAAAAATGCTTCGTTTTTGCTTCGCATCTCTACGTCGCGTTCGCTCGCGAGTCGCGATTCTTTAAATTTTCGGCGCGCTCACCATCAGACGATCAGTGGCGCGTTTACTACGCGCTACGCGCGTGAGCGAAGTGAACGACCGTTTGGTCAGGGTAGTCAGCTGACACAACGCGTGCGAGTGGCGATAAGTCCTCACCCCACTCTACCGCGGTGCGGCCTTGCCCCCACTCCCGCGCCGCATCAGCTGGCAGCTCGAGCATGTGCTCGCGCGTAGCAGTAGTAAACAACAGCTGACCGCTGACTGTGCAGTTCCGCGGTCGAGCCGATAGATAGCGCGGCGGTCGGGATCTCTTCTCTGTCGATTCTCTGTTCGCTTGCAGAAATCGTGGCGTGACCAAGAGATCTGCCGGGAAGATAAAACTTGTACCGTGTTTCTAGACACAGAGTTATTCTTCTTCGACATGAATATTAATTAGTAAAATTAAATAACCGCGGCAGAAAGTACTGATTATCTACAGGTTGCTACGTCGATCGTTTACACACACACGCACACACACGCGCGCGCGCGCGCGCACATTTTGTTGTTCCTGTGAATCATCATACTTTTATATCGAAAGTTTAAATCTCGTTTGACTGTTGAGAAGTTCTGTTCTATTCTTTGATACCAGTCACCTTTTTATTGGTTAAATTAAACAATTACCTATAATTCTGAAATATCTCGTATGTTTTATATCAGACAGAAAGAAGTGGCGAGAGAAAAGTGGAAGAATATTCCTTTACTCGTGCAAGATATCTTCACCTAAGTAGGAGACTCGTTTATGTGCAAACATAGCACAAGTTCTATTTGCGTCACGCACGTGTATCCTTCTCCCATTCCTTCTCGAATTAAGCAAGCGTTCGATTATCTCCTCTCGTTATCCTAGTTGTGAGCATGTGCACGTGCACGTGTTCGCAGAAATGGAGATGGCAAGTGTGTCGAGTGGGAGACCCGTCGTACGAATAGCAGCCCCCCGCGCGTGGAAGAGAAAACTTCTCTCCTGTGTATACGAGAGAAAATACGGGCTAATGGCAATCAACGTTTTTTGCGAAACCAAGTGTTTGCCGCGTTGAGCGAAAAGTTTCTTTCGTTTAATTCCCGGGAAGACTGCGAGTCCCGTTTCATCTTCCGGCATTAATTCGACCTTAGCTCGCATCTTTCTTTTTTTTTTCACGAAGACATGTCGCCCAATGTCGAGTCGTAAATATCGTTTCGAAATATCACGGGATTTCCGACCGAGTGCGTTCGTCATCTCGCCAAATTTACGTTTAATCAAATCTCATTTAACTCCAGCGAGAATAGACCATTTCTCGATATTACGGAAGAACATTACCGTGTGTGTGCCATTTCGCATTCCTTAAGCACGAGAGGACCAAGCGCGTCTCTCCCATCAGCTGGTCGTGCCAAAGGATCCGCTGATTATCTTACGAAGCTCGCTCGGCCGCGATTTCGAAACTTTCCGGAATTCCCTCTGCTATGCTCTTCACATTCGCGTAATTGAAACTGATTGCCATCTATGATTGACTCCTAACTCTCGCGGAATTTATCGGTCTCGGTATTTGCCCGCGAGCGCGTGCACGCATGCGGCGAAATTATCTCGTTAAAAAATTCCGCTCGGTACGCTTATGCGCGACAGCGCACGTATTAAGGACTCCTAGATGGCAATTTATCAATCTCTCGGATATCCCCTGTCGCCGCAGAATGCTCCAAAAAGCCCAGGAGGCCGATATTAACATCAACTGCGTGGATCCCCTCGGACGATCGGCGCTCCTCATGGCGATCGATAATGAAAATCTGGAGATGGTGGAGCTCTTAATAGAGCACAAGGTCGATACCAAGGATGCGCTCCTCCACGCCATCTCCGAGGAATTCGTCGAGGCGGTGGAGGTCCTTTTGGAGCACGAGGAGACCCTTCACAGGAATGGCGAGCCCCATGTAAGCCTCTTCGTACGTGCCTTCTGTATATGCAAATATCAACGTACTTTGGCAGACAGCGAGGACCTATCAAGGATTTATTTACCTCGCGCCTCATCTTATTAATAGCACGCGATTTGCACAGGATTTGTGTTAAACTTCCTTCCCTTGTTTTCAGTAGCGCACACTTATCTCGTCTCCTCTTTTTTTTCTTGAAAGTCCTCCGACGCTGTCGTGCGTGATTGCGGAGTTGCGACAGACCGAGCGATAACAATTAAGTAGATAAATATAAAAGCAAGCGAGAGCGAACCAAGCGGGAGCTGCGTCCCGGTGAAATTTCATGTATGAGAGAGAGAGAGAGAGAGAGAGAGAGAGAGAGAGAGAGAGAGAGAGAGAGAGAAAACCTGCTCTTACATTCAATCGAGAAACGTTTCGATTTTATTATTCACCTCGGGCTTACCTCAGGGAAAATGACAACAATAATAATAAAACCAGAGAAATGGATGGACGATCTTACGGCGGGTCTATTTTTAATACGTGAGATGAAAACGGGTACGTTTTCCGATCAACGAGGATGTTATCGCTGATTACATCGTTGCCGTCGCAACGATCCCGACGCGACGCGACGCGACGCGACGCGACGCGAGCGGCGTACGTCTAGACCGGATATGCAGATAGCAAAAAGCGATTGAAGTCGTAAATCGATCGCGCGTCGTTTCGGCTGCTTCACCAGCAGTCTTGCCGTCGTCCAGCGGTCGTAATGCACGTCATAAAGGCGACTCCGCAGTTCGTGAACGACCTCCGTGAAGTCGTTCTCCGCGCGCGTCTCCGATAAAACGGGAGACGTCGAATCTGCCGTCGAGAGGGAAGGGCAAAAACAAAGGGACGAGAAGAATACGAAATTTTGAACGGCGGCTTTAATCGGCTTTGCCAAGGAATCAGCTTACGCGGGACTTCAGGGATCATGTTCGCCCGCGGCGGCGCGGGCGGCAGGGCGCGCGAGAAAATGCACGAATGGGCGAATTCATTATATGAGGAAAATTGGATCCCCGCGAGGAAAGGGTTACCGCCCGTGACGATGACCGATTAAGCCGATTACGTTAGTACAATGCCAACGAGCTCCGGCACGAGGGGAAGATTATTTGCCGATTGTCCGCGCAGAACGAGATGCCTCCTTCTCCTCCTCCTCCTCCTCCTCCTCCTCCGCCAACGCGACTTAGGCACATCGTTATTTCATCGCGTTACGGGGTTCGCGTTAGTGAAAAGTAAATGAAAACGCCGAGCGTGGTCGTCGAAGCGCGATAATTACGAAGAGTCGGTCGCGTGGCTCGTACAGCGGAAACGGAATTCGCGGCCAGGAGGAGGAGGGGAGGGGAGGAGGGGGGGAGGAGGAGCGGGGGATTGATAAGTGGAAAAATTGCTCTCGTACTCGGCCGGCGGAGAGGAGCAGGAAGGAAGGACTGCGCACCAAGCGAGACTGAATTCTAGAGCAGTAAATGACTTCCGCTTTAATCCTCCAGAGCTGGGAGGCTCTGCCCGCTGAAACAGCCACGTTCACGCCCGACATCACGCCGTTGATCCTTTCGGCTCACAGGGACAACTACGAAATCATAAAGATCCTGCTGGATCGCGGATCCACCCTGCCGATGCCGCACGACGTACGCTGTGGGTAAGACACCTCCTCGTTAAACACCCCCGCGATAATTGACAATTTCGCATCGCCTCATATCCGCTCCGTCGGATATCCCGAACAGGTTGATCCTTGCGTTTCGGCGCGTTTCGCGCGATTCGACACACCGAAGGCAAAATTTCCATCTTGTAATTATTTGATTATTGATTATTGTGATTATTGGATGATTGAAAAACGTGATGTTCCTTCGCGCCGTGTTATTTACAAAGTGGCAGCCGACTCCGGGGATAAATTGCAGCTGCGTGTGAATTTAATTCACACTCGAGCATGGAGGATTCAGGAATATCCGACGAGCAGCGAGAGGCTTGATTAGTTAAAACGCGAGCTGTCGCGCTCCAATTCTGCTTATCGCCATTCTTGCCACTCCGCGAGTGCTCCGGAAGTGTGGCCGACCGTTGCTCCCTAAGTAAGTGCGCTCTTTTTGGGCTAATTAATTCCCTTGACCGGTTTAACCGTCTTATCCCTTTGTGCGACCGCGACAAAAGCTAATTAAATTAGGCTAAGCGTACATGTGTGCGCGCGCGCGCGTGTGTGTGTGTGTGTGTGTGTGTGTGTGTATGCGGTACCACACTACCGTGTATCCGGGAGAGGAAATTTAATCTGCGATAATAGCATTATATTAAGCCTCACATACAAACCCCATTCTCTCACAGTCCGGGTCGAACTAATAGAAAGCTCCCCGAATTCTTTGACGACGTATAAGTCTCCCACCTGTGTTACACAACAGCGTTACGCGTTTTGTCGCGTGAAGTAACATCGTAACACTCGGCGGGGGATGCTTGGAGCCAAAAATAAATACCACTCGCTCGCTGGGTGTGCGAAACAAGGGACGAGGGGCGGGGCGGGAGGGACGAAGAGCTACAAGCGGGAGATAGTTTTGAATAACAATATTTCTTGCGCGCGAATGCACCGAGTCTGCGGACGGACTGCCATTTTTCAGACAAAAGCCACGCCCGCGCGCCGGCCGGGCTGAGTATCCACATTCTTTACTTATATAGCGCCGCCTTTGTTCGAAAAATGGCAGTTCCTCGCGAGAAACGTCGTTATCTAAATTTGCCGCCGTGTGTGTGCTCCGCGCAGCGTTCCGCCGAGACGTCTCGCGTGAAAACTTCTGGAATAATAGCCGCGAATGCACGCACGCGAGCGTGTCTCATTTCCTCGAACCCGCCGACGCAAGATTTCCCGTCGGTCGCGTTATCGTCGAAATGTTGACAAAGGGGGTCGCGGACGATGTAACGCCGCGCGACGCACGATCATCCTGGGAAATATTCGGGAAATGCGCGAAAAGTGCCTGAGAGAGAGAGAGAGAGAGAGAGAGAGAGAGAGAGAGAGAGAGAGAGAGAGAGAGAGAGAGAGAGAGGGAGCCACCGGCGCGCGGCATTTCATCTCGCCCGTTGTTGCCATTTGTTATTTATTGCAGATGCGACGAGTGCGTGACATCGAGGATGGAGGATTCCCTCAGGCATTCAAGGAGCCGAATAAACGCCTATCGGGCGTTGGCGTCGCCGTCTTTGATAGCACTGTCGTCTAAGGATCCCATCCTGACTGCCTTCGAGCTCTCCTGGGAACTTCGACGACTCTCGTTCTTGGAGCACGAATTCAAGTGCGAGTACCAGGTATGGAACGGACGTTTCTTGGACCCATTATTCGTGAACAATACAATATCCTACAGGAGGACAGGAACGTCAAGTACGCTTCTCCGACGTTAGCAGCCTTCCCCCCCGTTCAAAATTATGTACAAAGAGCAAAGTTCGAAGCAAGACCGACAGGAGAACGGCGATTACAACTTGCGATAAGTCAACTTTCTTTTTTTATACCAATAGAGGTCTGCGGCGCAGAGATTACTCAAGCGCAAAGAATCCTCGTAAGTGACGGATTTATCACCCTGCGAGATGATGAGAAAACCTACTGAAAATAGCCAACAATTTCCTCGCGAGTCTCGCTAAAGCGTTTTGGGACGAGCCAAGCGCGCAAATGACCGTACGGACGCGACGTGCGGAAATACGTGGCTTATTTCGAGTAGGGCAGAGAGCGGGAAGGAAGAGAGCCGCAGCCGCAGCGTTTCGTAACACACGTACGCGGCGAGGAAGTTTCGAGCCAGTCGAGCGTGGGGAACTTTTCCGAACGCTTCGCGGCGATTAATACGCCGTTGCCGCCGCTCGGCGATGTTCCCCGATGACAGACGACACTCCATTCTCGCGGCGCGAATTTATCTTGCGAGCCACTCGGAGGTAGCGCTCGGAGCAGTTAACACGTGTTTTCCTGCATTCAGCTCCTGTTCGCGCCCGTATTTCCCTTCACACCCCCTCCCTTTCGACCGCGGGTCAAACGCGTTCTTCACGCGTCCGTTTAGCTTCTCCCTTTCTCTCTCTCTCTCTCTCTCTCCCCCTATGCTTAAGTGGCGAAAGTTTAAGTGCTCTCGCTACGGTCGCGCAACTTTTGATTTATACGCACATAAATTGCGCTCCGCGGCAAGCAATACGGCGACCGAGCAACATGCTATCGGGTTGCTTTATAGTCTCCTCGCCCCGCCCCTTATTCACTCTTTCGCCGCCGTCAACGCTCCCTCCGACCCTTTCACTCGCCCTTTCCGCACCGTCATCAGCCGTGTTTCTTTGACCCTTTGTTCCCACCCTTTTCGCTCATCCCTCTTCTCAATGGAAAGTCCAGTCTTTCGCTGCTCCCGCTCTCTGTTGTATCTTTTTCTCTATGTTTCAAGCGTCGAGCGTAGGGAACGGCTCGAGAATGAAGACGTCTTTAAGAATAAAGACGTGAATATATCTTGACAAATTGCTTCGGTAGTCCTGCTTTCAGCCTCTCTCTCTCTCTCTCTCTCTCTCTCTGCCGTCTTACCCGGCTCCGCTCTTATCTTCCCCGCGATTTCCGACGGCACCGTCTCGAGAGGTAGTTTCGCCCTCGGGTCTTCATCATTATGTTCGGGGCGTATTAGTCGGATGGTATTAGTCTTTCGCGATGATCTCGCAGCGTGTGTGACTTCTCCAATTGAGGTAACGAATCGAGATGCGGGGTGAATAAAGCTCGATGTCGCGCGCCGGCGTTCTCGTGTGTCGAGATCCTCGCGTTTCGCGAGATGACTCAAGTTTATGGGTTTTGCCGGTCGGCGATCTGATGTCGCGGGGCGCAATTCGGGGCGACTCGCGATGGTCTGCTCGCGATAAGCCGAGTGCGGTGGTAAACGCGATCTTGTTGATCGCGCGCTCGCGCTCTCCTCCGTCGCGTGCACATCCGAAGCGAGCAGGAAACGACGAGCGACGCGACAAAATGCGATTGGTTCTGGCGAGAGAAAGAGAGAACGCGTCGAAACAACCGGGAAACCCTTGTACCCTCAAAAATATCGAATGCTTCCGGAGATAAATCCTCCCCCGGCGTACACACAGCAGCGGGCACTCCCGCCCCCGCGATCGGTTAACCATTAACGAAAATAGATTAACGAGAAAATAGATTACCGGCGCCTCGATCGAGCCTCGACTCGTTACTTTCGCTTCTCGATGAAGCGGCAATGAAACTTCTTAGCTCGGTCGGCTGACGACGCGGGACGCATCCTGGCGAACGTTATACCCGCGACGAATACGTGATGGGAATTCAGTCGGGTTCGGGGAGAGATTGGCGAACGATTAGGATGGGATCTCTCGAGCGCCGCTTGTCGACCTTGCAGAAGTGGTGTGAGAGAGAGAGAGAGAGAGAGAGAGAGGGGGGGGAGGGAGGGAGAGAAGGGGAGCCTGAGAGTCCGATCAGCCGGCGGCTTTATCGGGCGCGAATCTCCTGGACTTTGCAGTTCCCGGGGACGGGGGCGGGGGCGGGGGCGGCGGTGAGCGCGAAGAATTCGCCGAATTTCGCCCGGGAATACCGTGAGTGATCGCGTCCCCCGGAATATTCGCGCGGAATTGGCAGGATTATTTTCAACGATCCGAGGCAGTGAAATGTGTTTGGTCCGAGACGGGCGCGTAACTCGGGAGCGCATTATGCCGTTGTTGCGATCGACAGCGAGCGCGAACTCGCTCGTGCTTTCAGGAGCTCCGAAGACAGTGCCAAGATTTCGCCACCGCTTTGCTGGACCACACTAGAAGTTCCTACGAGCTCGAAGTCCTGCTGAATCACGACCCAACGGGACCAGCCTTTGAGCACGGGGAGAGGATGCATCTGAATCGCTTGAAATTAGCCATTAAGCTCAGACAGAAAAAGGTACGTACGACAGAAAAAGGTACGGGTGCGAGACGCGGGACGAGAATGCATCTCGACGTTTCATCGCGTCCAGGTCGCGCGATCGCGTTGCAGTCGTAAGTCTCTTTTCGCGCGAAAACGTCGCGCGTCGTTCCCTTCGAACACTTCGCGGGTTCGCAGGTTTCAGCGATCGTCCTGTGTCCGCCGTCGGACACAGTCGAGTGGAAACTCGTCACGAAACTCGTCAATTTTGTACATGTGCTTGCAAATCATATCGTCCGAGCCGCTCGCCTAATTGCAACATCAACATTCCAAAGCATTATTGACAAGGGCACAATCGAGCTTAATTAGGCAGCGGCGAGCGGGAAGACCGGACGTTAGTTAGTTTAATGTCGTAATTAGGGACGACAGTTTGGACAGCAATCGCAATTTAAGCTCTGATTGCGGCCCGCCGCCACCTTTCCCGGTTCGCATGACCGGAAACTGTCGGTCAATATCGCGTTACCTGGATATTTCCAGTTCGTGGCGCATCCCAACGTGCAGCAGCTACTCGCATCGATCTGGTACGAGGGTCTGCCGGGGTTCCGGAGGAAGAATATGTTCCTCCAGGCGCTGGAGATCGTCAGGATCGGCATCCTCTTCCCGTTTTTCAGCGTGGCGTACATCATCGCACCTCACAGCGTGGTTGGCCAGACCATGAGGAAGCCGTTCATCAAATTCATCTGTCATTCCGCGTCGTATTTCACTTTTCTATGTGAGTACACCGTATCGCGCTTAGTCGCTTAGGCGCTTAGACGCGGTACTTGGCCGACGTAATCCCGTCCGAATGAGTTCGCGACCCGGAGAGCCTCCGGAGGGCTCTCTCTCCCCCCCCTTTCTCTCTCTCTCCTCCCTCCCCTCTCTCTCTCTCTCTCTCGGAGAGCTCTGCCGAAGAGCGGGCGCGAGCGCGCGCGAGCTATCTTTTCACTTATTAATTGCCACGAGAGAGATTAGAGTGAAACCCGAGATAAGAAGTCGCCGCCGAGCCAACGCGTCTCGCGTTAACGGCGTAATCGGCTATCGCTCCTGACGGTGGTTCCGCGTCAAGCTTTAAATCCAGCCACTTGGCACGGTATCCGGCCATTTCCTAGATTGTTCGTCACACTTGATCAGCGTGTCGCCTAAATATACCCGGCCCATTCCGAAAATATCGGCGGCATCGCTGAATCAGCTAGTCGATACCCGCCGCGCATCCATTCTTACAAACATCCACCGTCCGCGCGTATTACCTCTCCCTGCCTCTCGCCGCTCGCCCCTTGGCGACACTTCATTAATTCACGGAGCAATTAAATCTCCGCTCAGCTACGCTAAATGCCTTACTAAGCGGACTGCTCGTCGGAGCGACGCTTTCACCGGGCAAACGATAGACACGCCAGCGCTATTTTTACGGCTAAATTCTTCTTCTTCCGTCAAAGGAGGAACGCGCGCGCGCCCGCTAGGGAGAGAGAGAGAGAGAGAGAGAGAGAGAGAGAGAATGTTTATTAGTGATCGCGAACCCATTTCCGCTTATGTCGAGGAACACAGTGTCAATTTACGCGCGACTTATTTCCCGCCCAAGTATTCGGAAAAGAGGAGCGAGACACGGAGGAGCGCCCCGAGCGCTTTCCTACGGCGTATTTAACTTCCCGGCACGTTGGCGTATCAAACATCCACGTGGTGCGCGTCAAACAGTTTACAAATACCTTTCGCCAGCGCTACCAATAATAGTCGTGCACTAATGCGGGGAATTCAAACTAAGGCTTTAAGGCGGACTAAGAAGCATTACCGTCGAGCGAGCTTAATTGTTCGCCCGACGAGCGATACATCCCGCTTGGTTTTCGCTGTTTCCACAAAGATTCGATGTTCTACCGGGTGTTCCACACTCTGTCGTCGCGCCGATAGAATCCGTAACGAGTCTTGGAAAGGCGCACCGGTTCATGAGAGAGAGAGAGAGAGAGAGAGAGAGAGAGAGAGAGAGGAGAGAATTGCTGGAAAACAATTAGAAACTACAAAATAATTAGAAGCTGCAAAAGAAAAACCTTACGAGCATCCTGCATTGCGTCGCGACTCGTCGCGACTCTCGGCGTCGAATATCGCAGTGAGAGATATATAAATAAATATCACAAGTTAAATATCTCCGCGTGAAAATGAAGCCTGTCCCGTGTGCGACGGGAGAACGCGCGCGCGCGTGCGGTCCGTCGACTCAGCGTCGCGACGCGATGCCCGAGAGAGAGAGAGAGAGAGAGAGAGAGAGAGAGAGAGAGAGAGAGAGAGAGAGAGAGAGGTTGCGCGGCGCGTTGAATGTTCGACGATGATGATCGCGCATAACTTTGCCTGCGCAGTCATGTTAATTCTGGCTAGTCAGCGGATAGAGAGCGTGATCGGTAATTGGATGGGACACGACGTCGTGGAGCGCGAGCCAGCGCCGACGAAGAGAGGTGCCGCCCCGACGATCGTGGAATGGTAAGTAGCCGCGCGCGCCTCCCCAACCCTCCCTCCTCCTCCTGCCTTCAAACTTCCGATCTCGCAATTAGCGTCATATCGCCGCGTTATATTGGCGTATTTAACGCTGTGGGAAGCGCGGTCGCTGCGCGACGCCCGGGGTGTCTTCAATTTTTTTTCCGGGACCATGTAATGGAGAGAGCGAGCCGCGGGAGGGAAGTTTCATGCGCGCGAGCAATTTTCGTGCGGAATTAAAGTCGGCCGGAAACTGCGCGGGAAAGGAGGGATGGCGCGAAAAATGAGTGGCGGTGGAAAAGCGCGATAAAGTCCGCGTAATATCCCGCGGCTTACGACTCTCGCCGCTCGCGCGGAAAACGGTAACGCGGCACGCGTTACATATACACACACACACACACACGCACACACACGTACACACCGAGTCGACACAGCAAGCGAGATAAGCCCCGCGCGCAATCTCGTGGGATCTTTTCCTACGCGGTGACGAGATTGAAACGAGCTGGTCAAGAGAGCCGTCCCACTGTAAATTTAAACCCGTCCCGCGCCGCGTCGGCCGGATCGATTCCGTCTTTAATTTACCGCGTTATCGCGTCTTATCGATAAACCGCGCGACCGAGAATTCTGCTCTTATCCGAGCGGCGCGTTACAGACGTTCGTAATTACGAGAGAGAAATGGAGTGAGAAGAAGAGAGCGAGGGAGAGAGAGAGAGAGAGAGAGAGAGAGAGAGGGACGGAGGAGTAAATGAGGAGAGTGCGAAGAAGCAGAACGCGTAGAGCACCGATCTCGCGTATCCGATCTCGTTCATTGAATCACAGCACTCGCGAGTGCCGTGAAAAAGAAATACATCGACACGCGCGATTGACTCTCGGCGGTGGCGCGTCATTCTCCGTTTCCCTCTCAAACTCGAAACGAGGTAACCGGAGAGATTGACGCGTCGTCGCAGGTTTATACTGGCCTGGGTGTCGGGATTGATCTGGTCGGAGGTCAAACAATTGTGGGACGTGGGCTTGGAGGAGTACGTGAACGACATGTGGAACGTGATCGACTTCGTGACGAACTCGCTCTACGTAGCCACGGTGGCGCTCAGGGTCGTAGCTTACTACAGGGTGCAAAAGGAGAACGAGGGTCAGCTGCCGGGTTCGGTGATCGAGCTCCAGCGTGAGCAGTGGGACACGTGGGACCCGATGCTCATCTCCGAGGGCCTCTTCTCCGCCGCGAACATCTTCAGGTGATAAATCGCGAACGAGCGAGCGAGCGAGCGAGCGTCGGTCTGCGCGAGATAGAGCGCGAGATAGAGCGGTCGTAATAAGCCGCGAAACGGCCGTCGGTTCTCCGCGGTATAAATGTTGCGCGGCGGAAATTCTTCCGCGAGATATTAATATTCATGTGACGCTGAGGAAGCACCGCGCTCTCTCGAGAGTACAATTAGCCCTCGAAATGTCTGGAGGCGGTGCGCAAAATTATTAAATTATTTTACGTATGGCACGTAAAGTGTTGGTATTTCGTAAAGTTGGAGAAACGGCCGTTATTGAATAATCGTGTGGATAAATTTAGACTCGGGCAAGAACGTGCAAGTCGCACAAGCACGACAGCACGCAAGTTGTTTGACAAGACACTTTTCCCCGTCTACGAGAATCGACTTTGCCTCGCGAAACGGATTTGGAACACGGCGACGTTACCGTCGCGATCTTGTTCGTTGCGGCATCCGCCTGGCTGCCTTGCCTTGCGCGCTCAGAATGACCGCGCATGAATTACCGATCGCATCGGCAGGTCGATGCCGCGAGGTACGCGAGAGCCACTGGATATATCGAGAGGAAGAGCTGGTTCTCGGGAGCCAGTATTATTAGAGGTGTGTGCTCGACGATGGTAATATGGATAGCTATCGATAAACGATGGGCTTAGCGGTGGCATAAATTATATCGATAACATCGCTGCAACGTCGTTTTTCGAAAGTGCGCACACAATAAGTAGAATCTGTTCTGATTTAGCAAACCCTGCGCGGAAATTATTAACCTTGAACATAGTTACCGCGATAAGTTAAATTAAATTAAATTAAATGTCAACTTTTTCTACACGCGCATTTTTTGTACGAACCACCTATACTGATTAATGTCGATATCGTTAACTTCTCCATCGTACGACAATAACTAAATAATAACTAAATTATCGACAAGTATAAATATATATATATATATATATATATATCGATACCTTTCGATTAGCATGGTCGATCGTTAATTAATTACATCTCTAGGCATTATCCGAGGTAAAAGCGAACAACGTTGTGTTGCAGCTCGCTGAAGCTCGTCTACATATTCTCCGTGAATCCTCACCTCGGCCCGCTGCAAGTTTCCCTGTCGAGGATGGTCATGGACATCATGAAGTTCTTCTTTCTCTACGTGCTGGTGCTGTTCGCCTTTTCTTGCGGTAAATGCCCCCCATGCGCTAGTAGAGCAACAAAGAGAGCTGCGATCAAGCAGCGTACGTGCTTGAAGAACGGATCGTTATAAGAGGAAAAAAATAACACTCCCCTCAGGTCTCAATCAACTGCTGTGGTATTACGCGGACATGGAGAAGAAGCGATGCCCGACGGCGATGGCGTATTCATCCAACGCCAACGTCACCACCGACACAAACGCGTGCATCGTTTGGCGCCGTTTCGCCAAGTACGTAAAGACAACTCTTTTGCACGCCTGTCTCTTGTGCGTAATACGCCCCATTCTCCCGTGAGAGAAAAAGAAAAGCACATAGAATTAAGCGATTCTACTTTAGTTCTCGTAGCGGGGGCGGGAGAGGACAATGTAGACGCGGATCTCGACGCGTAAAGTCGCAGGATTTACACTTTGCAGCTGAAACATTTCTTGCCATTCCGTTTGTTCGCTCGACAGTCTGTTTGAGACCACGCAAACGCTCTTCTGGGCGGTGTTCGGCCTGGTGGACCTCGAGAGCTTCGAGCTGGACGGCATCAAAGTGTTCACCAGGTTCTGGGGTATGCTGATGTTCGGCACTTACTCGGTCATCAACATCGTCGTCCTCCTGAATCTTTTGATCGCCATGATGAATCATTCCTATCAGCTAATCTCCGTAAGTGCAGTTTCTTTGACCTCCTTTGCGACACGGCGCCGCCGTGTGTATGTGTGTGTGTGTGTGTGTGCGCGCGCGCGCGCGCGCACACACGATCTATGTTCTACGTTTTAAGCTAACTTTTAAGAGCAAACTAGCCGAATGACCAAACGCACGCTCGGATTCTCGCTGCCGACGTTAGTCGCTGGCACCGTTCACTCATCATGTCGAACGAACGTTAGGCCGTTAATCATGTCGAATTTATTCGTCGCCGCGAGATCGACCAGCGAAGATAAACGCGAGATTCTCGCGAAGCGGATAGAACAACGTCGTCCTTGTCGTCGCGCTAGGCGAATTCGCTGCGCAGCAGCCGTTCTCGCATTTACAATCGAAGTCGAAGTTAATTGGCCCCGGGTTGACCTGGCGATATTCCTGATCAGGAACGTGCCGATGTCGAGTGGAAGTTCGCCAGGAGCAAACTTTGGATCAGCTATTTCGAGGAGGGTGGGACTGTGCCGCCGCCGTTTAACATTATACCGACCCCGAAGAGCGCCTGGTACGTTGGCCAGTGGTTGTACCGGAAGCTCTGTGGACATAGCAGGGCCGCCAAGAAGGAGCACATGCGGACCATCCGGGTAAGCGACGTTGCCTCGAAACGTCCGGGTAAAAGCGGAATACTCGATGTCGCCTTTGTAACGAGAAATTCTCCGAGAAATCGTCAGCTCTCTCACTGCCGATTCCCGAGCCCGAATTCTTCTTTTTCCATTTCTCCCATCCCTCCCCCCTCTCTCTCTCTCTCTCTCTCTCTCTCTCTATTTCCTTGGCGACATACGAAGCAAGACGCAGAATAAGATGTCACTACCAGAATATCGCGAGGAACTCTGAATTTTTAAAAAGTGATGAGAAACGTATTCCGTCACCGTCGGCGGCGACGACGGTGCATTTTTGCGATTTTCGCAAAAGTTGCCGCACCATTTTCGATTTTAAAATTTGATTCCCGTTGCCGCGCGCAGCGAGAGCAGCCAGGAATATTTGGGGGAAAACTTCATGCATTCGGAAGTCGGGAGAGAGAAAGAGAGAGAGAGAGAGAGAGAGAGAGAGAGAAGAAGGAGAGAAAAACAAGAGAAAGAGAGAGGTGTTGCGTTTCTTTTAGAGCTTAAAAAGAATATTAAATCTGCGGGGAAATTTCCTCTCCTCCTGTGAAGTTGACGATCGCCTGCTACGCGTTGCGTCGCGTGAACTTACAAATTGGATGGGATTCCACAGAAACATTTTCTTTTACTTGCGGATTCCTTGAGAACGAGACAATCTCGGCGAAGCTCGTCTTGCAAGGAGGGATTGTTGTCGCAACAACAAAGTTTCGAGTTATTACATCGACATAACCGATTGAAGACGAGCAAGTATCTGTTTTATTTAATTTCCAGCATATCTCTTATTTTAACAGAGTTCTGCGACTTTTGAAAACAGATACTGAATATACAGGGTGCTAAATTTCAAACGTAACCTCGTAAAGAATCTCGAGAACTGTGAGAGATATTAAAAAAAGCTAAAACACGTGTTCCATGATTTCGAAGGGGAAAGAGAATGGCGCTATCAGTTTTCTATTTGGAGGGCATTTTCAAGGTCAGTTGGAGGTCAACTTAATTTTTTTAAATAGAAAACCCAACTTTTTATTATATCCTCTTTTTCTACCAATTAATTTTAACAACTTTTGTCTGAAACCAATTTTTTTATTTGCCCGATATCTTTTGAAATATTTAAGGAAAACTTGGTCTTGGTTTTTCAATATTTAACTTACTTGATATTCCGCTAACTATTCGTCGAAAGAAAAAATAGCATTAGACTTTTTTTACTTTATTTACTATCAAGAATATATTACTATAATAGTGCCCTAACTTTTGTTAACTTATCGACCTTTGGAAATTTCAAAATTCTTAAATTAGACGAGATATTGTAAATGTTTTAGCTTTTTTAGATACGTATCTTTTATAGTTTTCGAGATTTTTTACATGTTACGTTTGAAATTTAGCAATATATATATATACATATGTATACATATACACACACACACACATACACACACACACACACACACACACACACACACACACACACACACACACACACACACACACACACACACACATACACATATATACAATACCGAAATTTGTAAAAGGACGATGAGATGCGATAGACGTCGGTTTGCCTCAGTATGTCTCGCCAAGAAGAACTCGAATACACGTCGACTGAAGAGCACATGGTTGAAAGGTGGCACGACAGTCGGGAATATATTGTATGCGGGAGCGCACGTGTAACGTGTAACGAGGTCTCGTGAGAAGCTGCGTTTTCAATGCCTGACTCTTTTCTCAGCGGAAGGTGAAACAAGCATCCGAGCGAGACTTCAGGTACCAGAGCATCATGAGAAATTTGGTAAGACGATACGTCACCGTGGAGCAGCGGAAAGCCGAAGGCGAGGGCGTCACAGAGGACGACGTGAATGAGATCAAGCAAGACATCAGCGCGTTTCGCTGCGAGCTCATCGAGATACTGAAGAACTCCGGCATGAATACCTCCACCGCGGCGAGCAGCGGTACCGGTAAGTTTCGTCGACAAGAGAGAGCCGGAATTAATTAACTATTATAATACTTGGCCGATGATGAGTTTCGTTAAAGAAAAAAAAAAAAAAAAAAAAACAAGAAGAAAAATAAATCGCTTACGCTCGAGTTCTCGCACGAAGTGCGCGGTAGTTTTTGTCGCTGCAAGAGAGCCGAGCACACACGTTGACCGTTGTTGAATTCGAACATGCAAATTAATAGATTTGATCGAGGGACAGTATCTCATTGTAGACTTTGTTTAAACGGCAAGTGTACATGATATTGTGCGAGCGGAATCATCAATCTCCTCGCAGCCCGCTCTGCCGGCACCAGCGGTACAATTAATCGCTGTTTTGATTTTAAACAAATGCGCATTATTCAACGCACGCGCTGCGCTACGAACGCTGGCTACGTTCTCCGGGCTAACGAGGAGAGTTATACGAATAACAAATTGTTAATCACGCAGCGCGGAACGTCGAAACTTTCGCGGATTCGACTGCCGCGGCGACCCGCCCGCGTGCGTTATTATTTTATTCGCGGTGACGCGTCAGCGCTCGCGATCTTACGACGATCACTCGTGTGATTCAAACTCTGGAGAAGAACACGGACATTAATCACTGCCGGGGTTCACCCGGCAGAGCTAATTGCCGCAACGAAGGATTTCCCGGCGACTCTGTTCGGGTATCGGGCGTCATTCTGAATCTCCCCGGTTGTTTTCGCCAGCGAGGGCGAGCGACTAACAAAAACGGTGGCGATGAACGGACGTCCTACCGACGTCGTCCTAATTGAATCAACGTTAAGCGGACGTGAATCGATTCAACAGCCGAGTCAAACGGGTGCGGACTATCAATCGCGCTTGCTCCGAGCATCTCTTCGGCGTCGTTGAAATTCCTCCGATAGCTTCCGGTAGCTCAGCTTTCGAGGGCCGCCCGTCGATTTTCCGTTCGGCCCGATATACGACAGCCTTAGAGATTGCCGTCCGCTTAGTCGCGGATGGCAAGCAAAGGCGCCAGAATAAACGTTATCCGATTCGCGATTCGATTCAGTTCTCTCTTCTCTCTCTCTCTCTCTCTCTCTCTCTCTCGAGTCTTCCCAGTCGTTTGAGTTCCTTTGAGTTTTCGCCAGACAGCCCGTCGAGGTCGCCCGTCGACACATTTTCCCCTCTGTCTGTCCCCGGTAGACGCTAGACGCTTAAAGAGAGCTGTCCATAGGTGCGGGTGGCAAGAAGAACCGTCAGAAAGAGCGGCGTTTGATGAAGGGTTTCAACATCGGGCCGCAGCCCGGCGGAAGCGGCACCCTGCCGCCCGTGGCCGAGTTCATAGCGTCTCTGCAGCAAGTGCAGCAGGAGAACTCCCATCACGAGCTATTTGGCTCCACTCTAAGCGGTATATTCGGTCCGGGCGCGACCCCGAAGAAAAGCCCACATCACACCAGCACTAATAGCGTGCCGGGTCTCGCCACCGGGCCGCGACAAAGCCGCGGCACCCGAGGCAGCTCCAGGAAGAAGCGCTGGGGCACTCTGATCGAAGCGGCGAAAGCTGGCAGAGTCTCGAGACTGATCGGTAAGTCGATCAAGGTTACCTCATGCTGACCTTGCTCTAACGACCTTAACGAGCACGAGTCAACGACGGTGTCGTCGCAGCGCAACGCGGAGTGCCGCGGAGTGTCTTTGCTTTTCATTTCTCACGAAGAAGACGCATCTCGAAGAGATTGCATCTCAAGCTCGAGCGGGGACATTTGTAGAGAAAAAAAAAAAAAAAAAAAAACACAAAGCCGAGCGGAAGCTCGTCCTCCTGCCATCCTGCTCGAGTCGCTCCCTGTTCGTTCGTCGACTTGAGTTCGTAACAATTGTTGCACCGTTGAGAGACGCATTCGGTAACAATTGTCACATTATCGAAAGATCTCACTCGGTCTCACGCGTGCCAATTGTATTTACGCTCGTATTTACGGAGGTATTCTTGAGAGCCGTGTTTACTTCCGCCATTTTCTTGGCTGCTGCTTGATAAACGGGCGAACGTTGTTCCCTCTTCCCAGGTAGATCTCGTTCGGAGGACTCGGTGTACTCGCCGGCGTCCGAGGACGGCGGCTCGCGCTCCGAGGGCTCCTCGGACTCCAAGTCCTCCCTGGAGACGCCCACGACGAGCCACGATGTACAAACGCAGCATCCCCATCACGCGCATCATCACGAGGCGCATCACATGTTCGCCCACGGCCTGGGCCCGGCTCTGGCCGCCCTGAGGAAAAAGCGCAAGAAGTTCTCCGTCTCGAGGTCCTCGACGCCCGCGATGACCAGCAGCACCAACACGAACCCCGCGGAAGCATCGAGCGGCGCGATACTTCCCATCGCCGGCGCCTTGGTGTCGAGGGTGTCGAAGAAGCAGCTGCAGCGCGCCAGCAGCGTGCCCACCAGGGCTGCCGACTTGGCGCTGCAGTCGATAACGCCGCGGCGGCACGAGGTCACGCAGAGCCAGCAGCCCAGCCTCGACGTCGTCGAGATCGCCAGTATCAGCGAACAACAAGGTGAGAGAGGCTCGATACTCTCTTGTTCCCTCCTCGGCCCGTTGTCTCGCGCCCGTGCACGTGCTAAAGATAAGCCGCGCATGTTGGCTATCGCGCGCGTAATCAGCGCGATTATCGACTAGCTTGGCCCTTGGTCTTGGCTGTCGGGAATCGCAATTAGAATGAACCGAGGAGAATCAGCGAGACCGCGCGCGCAGCCAAAGCGACGGCGGAGACGCCTGAGAGGACTGCTGAGCGTTCGCCGTTCTCTCGTACTTGAAATTCACCTCGACTCGTGTTCTCTCTGTAGTAGAAATTACAAAGGCTGCTTTATCGAGATATTTATGTCCGGAGTTTCCCCGCGAGTCTAATATTTGTTGCTGCACGAGCAGTGGAGAGGAGCGAGAGGGAGAGGGCCTCATGACGCGTCTCGTGGTCGATTTGCAGGTGTTGTCAGCATGGCACCGCTGACACCATCGACCACCGAGGAGAGCGTGGTGGCGAGCGGCTTGACGTCGATCACCGTGAAGCGAAACGGATCGGCGACGCAGCTGCAACGTCTTCCTGGCATCGAGCCGATTTCCGGCCACGACGTGTCGGCCGGGTGGCTCTGAGGAAACCGACGTGTCGCCGGCGGGCGACAACAGACCAGTTGACACAGGAAGAACCAGTCGGAACTCACCGAGCTTCGTTTTCAACGGCCGTGAGGCTAGGACGACGCCGACGTGACGATCGTAGCAACACGGCACGACCGTCCCGGCGTCGGCAGACGCACAATGATGCCTTTCTCGCGACGACGCGCGCCATGCCGATTAAACGTAAGAGTGACGTCGATCGGGAATCTCGAAGAACCTCCCTGAGCCCTCTCTCCTCTTTCCCGCGTCGAGAGAGAGAGAGAGAGAGAGAGAGAGAGAGAGAGAGAGAGAGAGAGAGAGAGAGAGAGAGAGAGAGAGAGAGAGAGAGAGAGAGAGAGAGAGAGAGAGAGAGAGAGACGCTCCTTCCTACCTTGGCGAGCGCGAGGTCCTTCGCTAAACGCGCGGTCCCGTCTTCGTCCTGTTCGATCGTGCGTCCGGCAGGGTAACGGCGCGCGACATTAACGCGACATCACGCGGAGGGCATTTTTGTCAAACGATATAATAACGCGTGTCGCATCGCGTAATTGGGAATATATTCATATTCAAGTTCACACTTGCGTATCGCAGCGACTACACTTTATACCACACTCTGCGCGGATATCCTTTCGGACTTGCAACGTGGAGAAATTTGTGCGCCACGTGTAAAATAGTTTCTCACGTCATCTCTTCGAGTGTTTTGTACCATATATATCCATATATGTACGAGTATATATATCCCAGCCGGATGAATACTCCAAACTCATCACTCGCAGACAAAAGTTCCCTCCGCGTGCGATTCCGCGTGAGTGCGATCAGCGCGATCGCGCACGCGATGTTTTTATTTAATTTTTCTACGATGACGCGAATTGATCCTGATCTCTCGGTCCGAGAGAGTGTCTCGTGCTCGGTGATCACTCCGGTTGGTTCTTACTTTCTCGATCTCATCGAAAAGAGGCATTCGACTCGGAGGCTGGGAAAGCTGTATGAAATGATCGCACGGGAAAATACGTACGAGGAAAATCTCGCGGCGATCGCACGTCGCCTATCTTACCTCGCGTGCTCGCCTCGAGATTCGCGCGAGGAACGCGAAATCTGTCGCCCGTACGACCGTACGACGGAGAGATTCGCGGACCGCGCCAACTCTTCCGTTTGCATCGCACCTGGAGAGCATCGATCGAGCCCTTCTTCTTGCGTGACTATCTTTGAGCGACGATCGACGGTAGATAGTACTGAGAATTATTACTATTACCACTACTGCCAGAACGGAAGTGGCACGTGAATCGATGACGCACGCACACACACACACACACACACACACACACACACACACACACACACAGACATTCACACAAATAGCCTAGTCAGGAAGACACTAGTCAGAAGATCTCACTAGCGAAGAAAGGAGAATGCTGCGCAGAAGAAGAAGAAACGACACTTATACCGCTATACGTTATTAAGTTAACCGTCGAGGAACAACGAGAGACTTGCGTTACGTTGGTCGTAAAAGTCGCGTGAACGGCAAGCCGAGGAAGCCATCGAGGCGCCTTCTCTCAGAAAGAGGAGCTAGTCTACCGAAGAACGAAACTCTTTCGCAGCTTCTTTTGCCTCCTCTCCAGCCATGGTTTCTCTTACCTTTCTTCTCGATGTTTCATTTCCTCCGCGTACCTCTCGCGCGCGCAGACTCACTCTAGTCACGAAACCAATCGATGTACAATCATCGCCGCGATAAGCGATTTTGAATTCCTTTTGTATTCTACGACGTAGCTTAGACACAACGGCCACGAGAGCAGCGAAGTCGACAAGGTAATTACGTGTACGTATTCTTTCTCGAGACGACCGCGCCGCAGATTGCACGAAAGGCGCGCGCGCGAAAGGGCCCCCGAAGGAGCTCCGAAGAGCTTCTCCGCCAAGAGTGTCGTCTCGACGACACCCCCGAGAGGACGACGTTACGTGCTGGTAGTAACGTGGTACGCAAAAATCGTCCTTTAACGACCGCGCGAGTAGCGCCTCCTGCAATCTGCCCGCGCTAGAGACTATCGAATAGCTACGAGATCTTTCGTTACGTCGTCGAGTCGCCGGACGATGTCGGTTCGATCCGCAGGAGACCCCGAGGAGCCGAGCGCTCCCCCGGCCGGATCCTTCCGATGAAAGATCAGCAGGGGATGCAGCAGGAACAAACACAAAGTGGCACGACCAAAGAACACGCCGTAGCATAGTCGAGTAGTGGCCTAAACAAACAAGCGGGACGAGGAAGCGTACTATTTCCTATAGATATTACGTGTATATCTACGTTAATGAATAATGAATTACTATCGTTAATGTTAAACGCGAGTCGCGCGGTCCAGCACCACGGACGGAGTGTCACCCCTTCTTCCTCCCTCCCTCCCACCGCGAAGCGAGTCGCCCTAAGGGCACTGTCCAATCTCTCTCTCTCTCTCTCTCTCTGTATTCGTCTCATCGATCCTCCTCCCGTGGTCTGGACCGCGCCCTGACGAGGGAAAAGAAGACGAGGAGATGTAGTCATTATCGAAGTACTGCACACACATACACACACACACATACACACACATACTGTGCGTCTACCGAGCGAAGCGAACCGCTGTGACGTTATTTGAAAATAGCGCGAAGAATAGCGCGATGACACGCGCGAGTGAGAGTGATCGAACTCGGTCGATCGGAAGTCGTCAGAGTCGTCAGTTCCGAGTCACGCGATCCTGCAGCCAAGTCCGAGTCGAGCGCCGAGTCGAGGGATACGCGATGCGACGCGGTTCGGTGACTTTGGTAGACGCACAGCGATCTAGTCGTTATACCGCCTACGTGTATTATTTATATGAGATTATTAATGTAACTGTGAAGCTAGATATCGCCAGTTGGCGGTAAGTCGTAGCGAGTGTTCGTTGTGAGACGGGAGAGAGGAAGCTAGCAATCGTAAGAGCGAAAGAGAGCGCGGTGGCAGGCACAAAGGAAACGGGGAGGGAAAACAGAAGGAAGTAATAAGCGGAACCAAATATGATCTTAAATAAATAGGCGTCTAAGCTCTCTCTCTCCCTCTCTCTCTCGCGCGAGACAGAGAACTCTGATACTGATTATTTGAATAACGGCAGTCTCTCTTCTGCGAGCCCGATCGAATTTTTCTCGCGACTACGGAGAGCGAACTCGCGCGGAGTCTCTCAGTCGGCGACAGCGATCGCAAACGAGCGCAGCGCGTCGCGGCGAAAACGAAACGAAGTGCGCGAGGAGAGAGAGAGGACAATCGGAAGTTTGCGCGCGGAAAGCCACGCTCGCGACGATAAACAACGGAGAGCCACGCGAGCGCGAGACGGACCTTACCTGGGAGGTCCGCGAGTGAATTACGAGCGTATGAATCACAAGACCCGAGCGCAAAGATAACACCTGCGCGCATTAATCGCCCCCGCGTCGACCTCGCGTCGCTCCGGCCGATGAAGCTAAGCGGCTCAAAGCGTTCGCGGCGCGGCGGAAAGCTGGAAAGCGCGCTAACAGACGAAAGGTAAGACGGGGGACACGCGATCCCCAAATTGAATCTCGGTCTCGTTTCTCCGCGAGTTCTCGAGAGACGAGAGACGACGCCGACGAGCTGAGCCAAACGCGGATTCTCGACGGTAGCCAGATTACGATTACCGCCTCGCGCGCGGTAATTCGCCGCGATAGAACGCCGCGCGGCGGCGCGGCTTAAACACGGACGTGTTCGTTGCGACGAGCGAGAGAGAGAGAGAGAGAGAGAGAGAGAGAGAGAGAGAGAGAGAGAGAGAGAGGTGCGGGCACTTGATCCGACGAAGCGATTGAAGCGATTACGTCGAGACACTCCGTATTGTAGTATCGATTGAAATTCGATGGGAATTAGCAGACACCAATCGACCCACACAAAATGACCATTAATAAAATATCATTTATTCTGATACATCCGCTTATTCCGTACCCAGCTTATTTTCTACCGACGACAGAGCGCGATGTTTGTCGCTCGATTGATTACGTAAATGGAGGAGGAAACATAAAGAGAAACAAGAGCAAAGCAATATCGGCAGTGAACGACCGGCAGTAATGTGTACACACCGATAGTGAATAAAAGCATCGATTAATATTTATCCTGCAACGTTCCACGTGGATCATCAATTTAGTGACTTAGGTCGTCTTCGCTCAGCAATAGCTGTGTCCTTGCCTCAACACCCGACGAGATCCGAAGAGATTTCTTCGGTTGATTTCGCTGCTCCAGGTTTTGCATCGTTCCTCCGTGCTCGCGCGCTCTCACGGCTCTCGGCGTGAAGGAACAATCTCGTGAAGGAAAAATCCACGAGACGACGATAAGAAGGGTCGAGCGCGCGATCAACAGTTGCAAACAGTTGGCGATAATCCACGCGCGTATCATCAGAGAGCGAGATTTCATTCGTTTATTCATTGCTATATATTCCAACTGCGACAACTCGCGCTCGCGTCGCCTCTGTTTAATTTTCGCAAGGCGCGAGCTCGCACCGGTAACGACGGACCAGCTTCTTCGGGCAGGCGCGGCCTCCGTTCTCGGCTTCCCGCTGATCGTCGGGAAAACAGAAAAGGATAATATTAAGGATCAGGAGGTGATAACGTCTCGCTCTTTCGCGTATTTCTAGCGCAAGAACGAGCGCGTAAATCGGCCGCCGCCGCCAATCACACGGCCTACCTCGATAGTACGGTAGCTCGTGACGCGACCGACGCCGCAAGAGACGCTGCACGGCGACCAGCTTGACCAACGCGTCACCACGCAGTGCACCGGAGGAGGATTAAACCGGCCGGTAGCAGGTAGCTGACTCTGGATCGCGGTCCCGTTGAGAGGCTGCCCGGTGAGAGCGGTTCGCACCTGGAAACAACAGCTCGAGTGAGCATCGCGCTCGCGCGGCTTCCGGGATCTCGGCGAGTACTCGCGCTCACTATGCCACAGGTGTTCTCGCACTCGTCCAACGTAAGGAAGTTGTTGCGATTGCCGCGGCAGCCGCCGTAGCCGAACGGCAGGCACATGAGTTTCTGCGAATTGAAAGCCCACCTCTGGAAGTAGCCTCTGCAGGGCCCGGCGTCAGCCTCCTCCATGCAGACAACTGTAAGAGTAACCAGCGATCGATCGCGACGTTCCGATCTCGAGATATTCTCTGAGATATTCGAGTCGACTTTTCATCGCGGTGTTATCGAGAAGACGGACGGGGGGGGGCTCTTAGTCTCTCTCCGATTACCTCCTCCTTACTGACCCGACCCGAACGCTTGATCAACATTTCAGCCCCGCCCGAGCGCTTGATCCTCTCTTACCCTTCGCCGTTGCCATGTCGAAGGTGCAGTCCGACTGGATGAGACAGGGTCGTTGCTGAAGCAGCTCCACGCGCGCGGAGCATTCCGTCTGCTGCGACGGCTCGACCATCAGCAGCCTGGTGCGCAATTTCACGCCTTTGCCGCAGCTGGCACTGCACGGCGACCAGTCGGACCAGTCCGTCACCTGAAATCTCCCCCCGTTTAGCCAGTTATCGTTTCGACTCGCCGGAGACGGCGAGCGAGGAACGGTGAACGGCGCACCTTGCAGAGCGGATCAACCTGCTCCTCCGTTCCCGGCTGGCAAGGTGGCTCCATGCATTTCTCCTTCTCGACGATCGACACGAACGGGCAGCGCTTGCGACCTCGACGGTCGCGGAACCTCCTCGTCCGCATCTTCAGGCCGACGCCGCACGTGCTCGAACACTCGGACCATTCGCCCCATTCCGTGGTCTCGCAGAGAGGGTCATTGTTCACTAACGACGTTGCGTCCTCGTTCCCCTCCTCACCCCTGAAGTAAGAGGCAAAGTTTCGATCGTAAGATAGCGGCGAGATTAGGCGCTCGTCTCGCGCGGCAGACGGAGCGAGAGAGAGACAGAGAGAGAGAGAGAGAGAGAGAGAGAGAGAGAGAGAGAGAGAGAGAGAGATCGATTGTCCGCGAAAGGAAACGTTTGCAAAGTCGCCCCGGCACACACAGTGGGGCCAGCTGGTTGAAAATTCTCTAGAGACCTGAATCTCCAACCGATCATCGGATGGACACCAATGGATGAGGTTGATAAATTCCAAAGAGATCTGTCTAGCCGAAATTTTGAAAAAAATTATCGGTTCAGGGGTTCATGGGTTTAGGGTTTGTCTGAAAAGTTTCGAGGCTCGAACTTAATGCTTTTATTAGCTGAATATTCAACGAGTCGAGTATTATTAGATTCTCGAGCTAGGGCTAGATTGGGTTCTTGGACTATCTCTGGGCCTCTTAATATATATACGTCTTCATGCATCCACGAGCCAAAAAGTTTTCGGTCATTGACAGATTCCTAGGTTTGATGGGCTTAAGACTCAAAATCCCTCGGTTTTGTGGTTCAACGGGTCTATATTTGATATTTTCGGCATATTTGTAGCTTTGAGTTAATGGGTTTCTGCTTCAAGATCGATGTGTCTCGAGGTGTCTGTTGTTGATTGGTCGGTTTCATAGTTCAGATCCGCTGAATACGCTATTAGATAGAAATAAGTGTCGAATAATGAGTATTTCACAAGTTCCTCGCGTTTAACGATAATTCTTTCTCCTCTTTTGGAGGCTGGAAATTTGAGAAAAAAAATTTTCTTTTTAATTTCGGCAAGACAGATATCTCTTCGGCATTTATTCGGCAGGCATCAACCTCCGTTCAGGATCAAAATCCTGGTTGGTTAGGTATCGATGATCGGTTGGAAATTCCAGGTCTCTGGAGAATTTTCAAAACGCCAAAAAACTGGCCCCACTGTGCGGCACTTCGACACTCCTCTGCTCGTCTGCTCGAAGAACTCGCGTGTCCATTCGCGAATTACTCATGGCGCGAATTACTCACGGGCACTCCGCCACGGACGCGACGCACATCTCCTTGGAGGTCAGCTGCCTGTTGCAGTTGAACATGGCGGCCTTGTCGGGCATTCTGTACGACCTCGTGCGCATCCTTAGGCCCTTACCGCAGCTCACCGAGCAGGGCGACCATTCCGTGTACTCCGTAGTCTGGCATTCCGCTTAATTTGCAACAAGACAAAGGGCAAATTACTCCCCCAGCACGATCGCGGCTAACTCGCGCTCTAACTCTCTCACTTCGTGTCCGCGAGCGCGCTCAGCGCTAACAGCGCGAAGCGCTCGCGGAGTGAGCGATTATTCCGCGGTGAGTCGCGTAAGCTGGCAGGCAGGCAGGCAGGCATGATGAAGGGATCGATCGAGGGATAAGAGAAATTGTAAGGCTTAATGCCTGTGCGTACGTCTCGACGTGTCCTCCGTGTTCTCGGCCACTTCCAGCTCGGCCACTTGCTGCTGCAGCAGTTCCTCGCTGCACCCGCGCGGGATGATCTTCTCCCGGTCGATGTACAACCTGGCCAGCGGCAGCATAGGCCGGCCGCTGGGGTCGTAGAACGGGGAGCGCGGGTCCTCCGGGTAGGAGGTCGTGATCGGCTTCATCTTCTCGCGCGGCTTCGTCTCGGAATTCGGCGACATGTAGGTGATGCCGTTGTCGGTGCCGGCGTCCCACGGGTACAGGTCGATTAGCATCCCCCTCGCCCAGCTGCAGTCCTTCTGGCAGAGGTTCAGTTTGCTCACCCCCACCACCCAGTCGGGGGACGGGCCCAGCATGGAAGCCACCGAGAGCAGGGGGTGTCTGCGATCTACCCTGGAAACGCGAAGATACGGCGATATCGCTACCTGGTCGTCTACTGATCGACTTTGCCTGACGATTGATTCGCGCGTCCTAGGAGGCGTTTCCTAGGAACTTTCTTCCGCGCGAAGAAGAAGACGTTCGTTGTTGAGATTGAGAGAGACACGCGACCGCGGTTGAGGAGAAGACGCTTAATGTCGCTCTCGCTCTCGAGCGAGCGAGCGAACGAGCGTTACCTGAAACTCGTGGTCGTGTTGGTATTGACGTTGGGGTACCAAAGACCGGTAGCTTTGATGAGGGTCTTGAGCTGGCTGGCTTTCGCCCTGAGCTCCGCTTCGACGCCCGTCGCGGAGCCCCACTCGGCCAATTGCCGAAAACCGTCCGTGGCGATGTGATCTCTGCCCCAAAAGGAGAAATTCGGCTGGTGAGATGCGCCGATAACGTCGCTGAAGTGGGTCAGCCAGGCGGAAAAGGGGAAGTCTTTCGGATGAGTTCTATTCGACCAGATGCCCTCCATAGTTAGCTGAAAAAAAGTGCGCGGCAGGCGAGGTATATATATATATATATATATACGCTGAGCGAGTGTGACTAGAGGTTCCGTTCCGCCTCTCTCATCTTCTTCGCGACGCGCACTCGCGTGCTTTGCTACGTCGCTCGCGCATTGAAGACAAACGTAGGCGTGAAAATCGACGAGAGCTATTTATTACGAGGGAGCTGCAGGCAACGCGAGTTCATCAGAGCATCGAGCCGAGACGTCAGAATGGTCTCGTGGCTCAAGCTGATGGCAAGAGATATATAAATCCCTTCGTCTTCAGGACTCTCCGTAGGCTCACCGAGTACTTGGCCTCGTCGCAAGCGCAGCATCTGGTGTCGTTCAGGCTCTCGACTTCGCCGCTCGTGGACTCGCAGACGCTCTTGGAGAGCGCGCCGTCCTCGGCGTACCAGCGTATGTTATTTTCCAGGATCATGGCGGTGAAGATGACGCACCCGGCGCCGCTCGGCGGCGCCCGCCACATCACTTGGATCTGCCGCAGACGAGTGCAAAAGTTCAGTTGTGTGCATCTCTGAGCGAGAGCGGAAGGGAAATGATACTTTCAGGCGGCGTTCGCACCTCCGACTTGGGGAAATCGGTGGCCTCGGAGATGGTGTTGATGCAGTCCTCGTTGAAGGCAGTCAAGGTGTCCGGGAACAGCTGGAAGTAACCGATGCGCGCCGCTAGATTGTTCGGCGCGTGTTGCGAGTGCACCGTCAGCGTGAAACGCGTGAACTGCTGCAGCCGCTCGTGCGTCCGCGAGCCTGAAAATTCCACGCATCGTGAGAGCCGGCGTGAATCCGACGAAGATCCCGGCCTACTCCGTTTGCCCTTCATCCGCCCCAACGACGACCCCCCTCAAACGGACAAAGCGCGCGCGACCTTGCAGACTGACGGTGTAGACCGCGTTGGGGATGTATCCGTTGGTCTGTCCGCTGATGAGGATCCTGTAGCCACCGTCGCCCGGTGTCCTCGGGGCGGAGGTCTGCTCCACCGTCGGCCTCATGGGGCATCCGGCGTGAGCCACCGCCAAGATGCACGTCGTCAGTACCAGGGATAACATTCTGCGACCTGTAATATTCCGGGAGGGAGGCGTTTTGTTGTGTTTGTACATCTGTACCTCTGCTCGCGCGGACTGGAACATTGATAGTAATAATAACAACAACAACAATAATAATAACCTTATCGAACACTACACTAGGAAAAATGTGTTGTTGCGTGAACCAAAATTTTGTCGCAACGACAAAATAATTTGGTTGAAGCATGCCCAACAAAACTGTTCAGTTCCTGTAAACAAATATCTCGTTTGATTACGGTTCGCTCGTACAGCGTAATACTCTTGTTACACCAAAGCAAGCAGAAAGCTTCAACTATATGAATTTTGTTAAAGACTTTTTCTCGATATATAAAATCTAAATTTTAGTGCACCGAATGACAAAGTAGCATCCATTGGGAATTATTTTGGTTCATGTGAAATAATATCTCGTTATTATGTAATTTTTATGAATAAAATAACCAAAATGCTTAATTTTTATTAATACGAAGTCTAAGAAATCTAAATCACTCGGTCCAGAGAAATGAAAGCAGAAAAATATATTTAGTTGAGACAACTAAATATTTTGTTACATAAAACAAGATATTTGGTTGCTATTAAAAAATGCCTCAGCTGAACAGTTTGGTTGGAGATACTAAATCTTTTTTCCTAGTGTAGGACGTCGAGAGTGATGGCTGCTGGGACGAGCCGCAGGCGCTCTCTCTCTCTCTCTCTCTCTCTCGTTATCCTTCATTGTGCGACGCCGGCGTGCTAATTCGCGGAGCGAGTTGCTCCGAAAGTTTCGGCCGCGTGGTTATTGTGACGGCAAGGCCGCCGCGCGCGTAATTCGTTTCGGCGGAATTCGCGACGGCAGAACGACACTCCGGCGAATTATCCTTGAGTTCACGCCTCGCTCGGTTGTCCGCCGCGGAAATGGCCGCAATTTGACAGCGGCCGCGTGAAAAGCCGGGAACCGCGAGAGTCGCTCTCTCTCTCTCTCTCTCTCCCTCTCTCTCGAGCGCCATTGTTAGAATTCGGCCGGAGCGCCGGCGAACGCGCCAGGTCGAGCGCGACCGCTTCGAGCGTTTGCAGCGCCGGACCATCGCCGTCCGCGATGAAAGATCGCCGCGGGAATGCCTTGTGCCACATAGAGCCGCGCAAAGTGGCGATGTACGATCGCGAGCGGATCGCAGTCAAGCACCGATTACGCAAGCCTGCGAACGGAGAACGGGGATTGTAATTACGGGCCTCAGGATCCGTCGAACGAGCAGGGTCGCGGAAACTCTCGGGGGTCTTCCCGGAGTAAGCAGCCGAGTCAGAAGGCGCGAATGAAAGAGGCACGCCGCCGGCAATCCCGGATGACGATGATGAATGGCTCTCGTTACGTTCGCTCTCGTCGTTCTTCTTTCTCACCGACCTGCCGATCGAAAGCGCGCGAAAGACTAGATCTCTCTCCTGCGATCCCGGCGGCGATGTCGAAAGCGATCGACGAGCGAGTTCAACGACATAATATAATGGCAGTTGCGCGCACATCACTCGCGACTCGCGAGACCGGCCGCCGCGCCGCGGCGATACTTGATTCTCGCGTGACGACAATGGGGAATAAGGCATTCTCTCTCCCGTATCGCAGAAAGGGAATCGTGAGAAGGTTAATTATCGATTCTCGCGAGGGCCCGTAGCAAATCGCGCGTTCTCCGCGCGGGACGCAGCGGGGAGGATAATCGCGATCGGATATATCTCACGACGATCGCGGCCGACGATTCTCTCTCTCTCTCTCCCTCTCTCTCTCTCCTTGGAAGTGTCCGCTTTCTTCCTTCCTTCCTTCGGACCGAACGATATCGCGTGATAGCCGCGCGGCGCGGCGGATAACGACGCGGCGATCGCGAACAATGCGATCGCGTGCGGGAGATTAAATCGTACTTGAGATTACGATCCGTGTCAAGATGCACGGCCGCTCATTCTACGGCCGCGATTATTGTAATTAATGAACGTCCTCGCCGCGTGTAATAAGATACTCCCTAGCGACTCGTCGCGTGGAAGCCTCGAGCGCTGAAACCGCACGATAAGAATCAACGGCGCAGGCTCGTCGACGGCTCGTCGATTCCAGACGAGTATCACGACGCGTCGTTCATTGATTATTATCAAGCGGATGAGGAGAGAGCGCAGGAAGAGTCTGCCTGAATGCGCATGATGAACGGCGCAGAAGTGAGCGATCGGAAAATCGCTCGACGACAAACGACTCGTCGTCGAGCTTCGGCGGACAAGCTGATCGATAGACCGGTTCTAAAACTTTCGACGACACTGTTATCGTTATCGTCAGTGTCGCTACGCTACGTGGCGCTAACGTGGCTAACAGCACTATTCATAGCGTTCGACGGATAACGTAACGATAACGAAGTCGTCGCAGGATAAGGCCGGGGTCTGCAATGCGAGGTGTAGTACTTGAGAAATTAACCAATCCTAATCGATTTTTACATGAATAATCGAATGAGATTAGCGAATTTCTTAAGCCTCGCGCGCGACGAGGAGCCGACGAGCCGACGAGCCGGCGAGCCGCGAGAGAGAAACGCCGGGAAGACTTTTTTCTGAAGAAATCACCGCGACCGCTTTGAATCGCTTCGCCGCGGTCGCTGCGCGCGTGCCGCGCGTCCGCGCGGCGACGCATTCTCGCTCGATGCATCTGATTACGGGCCGCGGACAGCTGGGAACTGGGTCGGGACTCGTGCCAGTCCGCTCCGACCGGCTTTCGAGATCGGTGCTCTCGGCCACGTAGGTGTAGGTTTCTAGAACGCTAGCTGGCGAGAAAGACGGAGCGCGAGCCGCGCGGCACCGTCGGAAATTGCAGAATGCGACGCGCTGGATCTGCACCTCGCGGCTCGCACGTGGCTGGCAGCGAGAGACGCCTCCAGCGGCTCAGCCGGCGCGGCGGAAGCGCTTCGTTCCGCAGTGTAAGAAACATTGAACTTTCAGGCGGTAAACGCGCAACAAAGCAAACCTAACCGACAGTCAGGCTCACTGCTGGTGCTCTACACCTCTGGTATTGTTGCGTGGACCAAAATTTTGTCGCGACGACAAAATAATTGGTTGAGATATGCCCGACAAAACTGTTCAGTTCCTGTGAACAAATATCTTGTTCAATTACGGTTTGTTGGTATAACGTAATACTTTTGTTATACCGAAGCGATACCAAAAAGCTTTAACTAGATGAATTTTGTTGAAAATATTTTGTTAACAAATTTTTCTCAATATATAAAATCTAGATTTTGAGTGCACGGAAAGACAGAATAGTATTGCCACTGGGCATTATTTTAGCTTATGTAAAATAATATTTCGTTGTTATGTAATTTTTATGGATAAAATAAATGTTAAAATGCTTGATTTTTATTAATACGAAGTCTAAGAACAGAATCATTTGGCCCAGAGAACAGAGCAGAGAAATATATATTGGTTGAGACAACTAAATATTTTGTTATATGAAACAAGATATTTGGTTGCTATTAAAAAATGCCTCAACTGAACAGTTTGGTAAGAGATACTAAATTTCTTTTCCTGGGATAGGATTTGAATAAACGGAGAAAGAGAAACAGAGAGAGTCTGATGGAGACAAGGATGTGGTAAAAGAAGCGGAGACGAAAGGATGTCTCTCTTGGGTTCCGACTCGTTTACGTGGTAAAACCAATTAGCTATCGTTCGCGGCGAGCTTCAGCAATTCGTTAGCATATTTCGGAAGCTACGGGGGTTGCTCCGCAGGCAATTAGAATCTTCGCATTTAGGCTGAGTCGTTTTGTATGTCTGCCTACACGTATCCCAATGTAGAGTGTTATTTTGTTTAGTGAAATTATAATTTTATTCATATTTCGGGGCGTCTTTATAATTCTCTCGCTCATTAATATCAGAAGTCCCTACAGCAGCGAGACACGACGCGCTCTCGAGAGATACTCTCGAGAGGAACTCGCGTTTCTCTCGACATCTGGAGCGTACGGATCGTCTCGCTCGCGTTGGAAATTGCCACGAAAAGATCACGTCGGAGGTGTCGCGAGGAATGAGAGACTTCTCGGGAACTGTCGCCCTTATCGGAGATGCTCGCGACTCTGATTCCGCGCGATCAATTACCCGCGATAGATAGATGGATAGACACACACACACACACACACACACACGCACACACATACGCACACGTCCGTTTCGCGACGAGCGACGAGATCGATGAACACAGCTAAGCGTCGTCGACAGGCGTATCCGGGAAGCGTGCGCGGACTTGAGCGCGATTCATCACTGTCGGTCACCTCGCGCGCGCTCCGGTTGCCTTTGTTGGCGCGCTTTTTACTCGCGCGCGCGCGCGCGCGCGCGCCTCGTAATCGATGCCGTAATCGATGTACACTTTCACAGTTTCACTCTGCGAACGCGAACGGGTGTCGCGCGATTTTAATCGCGGCGGGCTTCGCCGGCCGTCGAAATTCACGTCATCGGGCTCGAGGACGAACAGCGGCGACCGCTTCTTCGCGCGTGCACGCGTGAAAACTGATGCGCGTCCCTCGCCGGATTCCCGTACTACGCCCCTACTACGCGCCCCCACGACGCTCGCGGGTCGTCGCGTGGGTGAGAATCTACCGCGTGTCACTCTCGCAATTAGCGGGATAATTGCGCGCTGAACGGCGCGGCGCGGGGGGAGGCTGCGCGCAGGTAGCGGCCACGCGCTCGTCACGCTCGTGTCTTGTCGCGCGCGCGCGCATTCACGCGTCTGCCGCGAACGAGAGCGAGCGCTTCATTAACTCGCGCTTCCATCTCCACGATTTCTTCCATCCACGATTTTATCCGGCACTTTCTGCCGAGCAACCTTTCGTTGCCTCGTCTTTGACGAGCCGCGCCGCTTCGTGAACTCTGGAGCTGCCAAAGCGGTCGAAACGACCGGTTTGAAATGTCTTGTCAATATTACTCGAATTTATATAACACGACGCATTTTGCACTTGTCACGAACGTTGAACAGCCAGAAAAGAGTAATTTCAGCGACAGAGAACAAGCGGAATCACCTCAATTTTGGAGGATCTTATTCTTATATGTGGCCTCATGAGGATTCCTCCAAGATTAAGAGGAAAATATTATAAGCACATTATTCTTAAAGTTAGAGGGATTAGATGTTATGTGTATAATGCAGATCTTATTGATTTTAATAGAGACTTCCTCTTATACGCGGATTATTAAATTTTCTTTTTAAAGGGTTATTATTTATTCTTACTGTACCTTAATCTTCTTACTGGTTATATTAGTTAATTTGTAAAAATTATGTATAGCGAAAAGTAATATATATATATATATATATATATATAGATGTATTTCGGCTCCAGTTCTACAATAAGTAGGCACGAATAAAATAAAATTATCGTAACAAATAAATTTCTAAAAAGTTTTATCATGGACTTCGTAGCTACAAAGATGTTCATCATAACCAATTGTATGAAACATAGTTAAAGAAAGAATATATTATTCAACTTCTTGTAATAGATTATAAACTGTATTTTTCATACAAGTAGAAAATGAATTGATACAAGAGGAAATCCTCCTGAAATAAGAGGAAAATCGTTGGAATAATATCTAATAAATAAATAAATAGATGAATGGTTCACTTTAATCGCTTTATCGAAAGAGGAATCTTTTTTCTGCAAAAGACTTCGCTTAGAATATGAGACTATGGGAAAGATCACTTTACAAATACTAGAATACTTTTTTTTGGGTGAATTGCACTGAAAGAAATGAATAAGCGGAATGAGTAATAAAATAGGTAAATAAAAGTGTCCTCTTGCGCAATACACACAAGTATAATATATTAAATATAATGTAGAGAGTATCCGGGATCTCGTTTGGAAACGACGGAAATCGTAAAGATTAATCGGATCAAACTGAGAAGAAAAGTCAAATACCATTCTGCAAAAATCGCAATAGTTATTAACGATTGAAAATCTGGATCACATCTGGAAGCTCCTTAAATTGATAACTTGAAAATTTGCCTACTCTTTTGCAAAACAGTAAAGGACTTTTTTTGTGCAGAATAACCTAATCTAGCGGGAGGTTTAAAATTCAGGGTTCAAAGTTCAATATATTCATATCTGTCGCTAGACACAATAACCGTCATATGTAGATTAGTTCATTCTGAACAAAAAAGCCCTTTACCATTTTGCAAATAAGTGCGCAAATTATCAAGTTATCGATTAAAAGAGCCTCTAGATGTGGTCATTTTCAATCATTAATAACTTAATAACTATTGCGATTTTTGCAAAATGGTACATGATTTTCCTCTTCAGTTTTACCTAAAATTAATCTTCACAATTTTCCATTTCCAAAAAATCCCAGACACCCTATACAAGATGAATATAACACATAAGAATAATTTTCGCCTTGCCTTATACCGGGTCAGTTGAGAAGTTTCGATGGAGTCTCTCAAAGACGTCGCGACTGATTTTGTTCAGCACATATTCGCAAATGTGTACATCCGTCGTATCGAAGATCATAGATAATAATCTACGATTACTCGGTAGAATGAACGAATTCCGTTTCCGATGATCAGTCCGCACTTCTACATCCAAATCCCCGTCGAAACTTTTGCGCTCATCCAGTAAAATGTTCTCCTGAGAAACCTGGGAAACTCGCGATCGCTCCGGTAGAAAAAGTAAAGTCTGGTCGCGCAGCTCTGGTCCGCTTTATTCTTTAGTGTATTCTTGCCGCCCGATCGAGTTTACATGTGCTCGTTACGTGTGCACGTATGTGTGGTCGGCTGTGAAACTCTCTGTTACAACCGACGCGTTTGCGTTTGCACGCATCGTCTGACTCCGAGAGACGTGAGGATTGCAGTTGGAAATAATTCTACGAATGCGCACGCCGCATTTCACGACTCCCGGCAAACTCCATTTTGCAACATTAACGAGCCGCAATGCGAACGCACGCGGTGTAGCTCGGCTCTCGCGGCCTAGCTCGTTCATCGCGCAGCGAGATGATTCCGCGAGAAAATCGTAAGCCGAGAAAAGGAGAGAAGGTCTCGCCGCGCGGATCGATCAGGCCGCCGCCGCCGCCGCCGCCGCCGCCGCGCCGACTCGTCGCAATCGCGTGTGCGCTTCTGCGGTGACTTCTTTCTTGTTTACATCGCCGCGATAACCCGCGGATCGCCGGATGAAGCGACGGGTCAAGCGACTTACGTAGACGAGATTCAACGTCTCGCGGAGCTTCCGGCAAAAATCCTGCCACGAATGCGCGAAAGTTCAACTCGCCGTCTGGTCGCCGACGTCGCGCGTTTATTATTAATTCGTCAACCACTCGACGACGCAGCGCGTAATCAATATCACCAAATCCGGGTTTCCTTCCCATCCGAAAACAATAAACAATAAACTCGATCGCCCGTGACTGTCAATTAAGCTCGCTGACGGGCCGGCCGCGCGCACTTGACGCGCTCCTTCCGCTCGTTGTTTCGTCGTTGTTTTTCACCAGAAGCGCGAGCTCGTCCACTCGGCCGATCAGCACAGGTTCGCACAGGTAAACGCGAACGAGACGAGCGTGTTCTCTCGCGAGGAGTCGCGGCCGACGCCGACGGAGGGAAGGACGACCGGAAGCGCGCGCGAGCCCTCTCATCGAGCGGCGGATCCTCGGCCGGTCATAATTCGCGAAATGGCGGGACGCCGCGACGCGCCGCTACTTTTATGAGGGCGACCCTTTCACGCGCTTCGGGGTGCGCGCTTACCTGGTCGCGGTGAAACCTGCCACGTTCTTCGCGTTCGATCGCCTCACGATCACAAAGACGCGCGGGTCTCACGCGGGTCTCACGGGACACGAAATCGCTCGCAAGCGAAGGCGAGCGCCGAGCGCCGAGAGCGATTCTCCTGCACGTCGCGCCGAGGTAATCAGCGAGTCTGAAGGATCTTTTCTTCCAAAGACGCGACAGATCCTCCGATTCGCGACGGCTAATCACATCGAGCGATTGCATGCGTAATCATCGCGGGACGATGGCCGCGCGGGAACGCGCGAAGGATCCGCCGTCCCGATAACGGCAATCAAAGGCCGTCAAAGTCGCCGATCCTTCCACGATCCTAGGCGAACGTTATCGATCGCGCTATGCGCGCGCGATCGATCGTCGTCGGCGGCCGAGGCGAGCGAGATTCTTCATTTAGATCCGACAGGCAGGCAGGCAGAGCCAGGCAGGTCGTGCATCGCGCGGCTCACTCGTCACGCTTACGTAATCCAGCTTGAAGAGCGCCAGAGCCGATTGGTCATGGAGGATGCCACCTACGCGTGGCATTCTAACGCGCTCGCGGCAGGACTCGTCGCGCGAGGATGACACAGGTACTCACCGAGGTGGGTCTCGGGTGCGGACGCCTGCGAGTGCCGTCGTTGCGCGAATCGATCGCGGCGATCGACGGACGTGTCGCTACTACGTCGCGTCGCGCTGGCCGTCCGGCGCGGCGAGCCGAGCAACGCAGCGGCGCTCGGAAAGTATTATCGGGAGTCATGGGGTCGGTTGTAGGTCAGCGAATATCGCTTCAGGCTCCGACGCCTTCGCGATAGCGCGGAAATGCCCACGATAAACACCCACGGGGCGCGCCTGTGGGTCCTCGATCGCGCGCGCTCTTCTTCTCGCCGGCCACGTCGAAGCCGAGGCCGAAGCCGAGGCTCGAGGCGGCTCTGGCTCTTATCTCAGATCAACGTTAACCCTCGTTAACGTACATACTCGTTGATAGGCAATAGTCAATAGCTAATCAATCACACATGGCCGCGTCGAGCGACGACTTTCGACGGCACGACTTCAGGTTTCACCCTGCGCACTTGAGACGGGCCTGTTCTTTATCGCTGAATTTGCTTCACACCTTCGGCGGGGGGGGGGAGGGGGGGAGGGAAACTGAGGACATACCGAGTTGAATCTTGGCGGGGAAGAGAGGAGGAGAGAGGAGGGCAGCGATTCAGCACGGACGAGAACCTCAGATCCCCGAGTCGAGTTCTCCTCGGACGTCGGAGTCGCGCGTTCGAAATACCCGCCTCGCCGACGATGACAGCGGCGTGCTGACGCACGCATGCGTCATATTATCGACGAACGCGCTCGGCACGGTCAGTCGCGGCCGAGCCGCGCCGCGCGAGGTGCGTGTCAAGTGGATGTCTCTTTCTTCTCCTCCCGTGGCCTCCTCTCGTCCTCCTCGTCTACGACGCATCGCGTCCGACGCTGCGCGCACTCCTCACCGACGCACTCCGCTGCGACTTTCGGATGACGAAATGGGAACGTCGTGAGAGCGAAAGGGAGAGGAAGAGAGCGCGCGCGAGAGAGAGATAGGGAGAAATCCGCTCGTCATCGTCCGCAGCCCATCAGCGTGCGCGTTGCGCGCTCGGATCTCATCTCGGAGCGGTGGTTCCTCGAGAGTGCGCTGCGCCGGTTCCTTTCGGCGCGCAGCACGCCGCTCTCGATCAGTCGGGGCCAAGGACGGCCTGTAAACACACGACGGCCAGGTGCTGGGGGCGGGGGCTCTCGAGCACACAGAGAGACGGCCGCGCGACGGAGCGCGAGCTGAAGAGCGGGGCGTCGTCGAACGGGGAAACGCGTCGACGCGGCTGACTCACCCAGCTCGGGCATGGCCAGCTTGGCGAGCAGCTCGTCCTCGGGCCTGACCAGAGCCCCGACGATGTTGGAACAACTACTCGAGGAGATCAACTTCCAGAGGACGAAAGAGCTCAGGCAGATGCTGAAGGATGGTTGGTATATACGAGGCCGGCTGCGAGAGCGAGTCGCTCGGCTTGTTTGTGTCGCTGGGGGGGGGGGGGGGGAGAGTGAGTATCGCGCGCGCGCGCGTATGCGTGCAGCCCGTGCGTGACGAGGGTGAGAGTGCGCGCGCGAGAGCGACTCGGGGTATGCTCCGGACGAATAATGTAGAGGGTGTTTCACTTTCGAGGTCGTTGACTGACCGGGGAGAGTCTCGTTAGGCTCGTCTCTCGCTGTCTCCGCAGCGATCTGAAACTCTCGGGGCGGATCAATTCGGGCGATTCTGCTTCCTTGTCTCTTCCTACCTCGTGATCCTCTCTTCATCTCCTTCATCGCTTCACGGGATCGCTTCTGGGACGCTCGGTGTGGGAGAAACCGTGACTGCGCTTTGTTGTCGTCGTGGCTTTTGTGTCGGGTGCTTACACTCTTCCTTTTGTTATCTGTTCAGTTTCCGCGGGCTGGGACGCAACGGGGAGGGGGGGGGGGGATTTGGGTGTTTAGATGCGAGATTCGGTCGCTCGGCGGTATCAGCTTTTCGAAATTTAACGCACACGAAGAGGACACTTTATCGTACACCACTCGAACGAAGGTCGTTTTGTTTACCTCGTTCGCTCGCTGTTTTGCAGGAAATTAATAAAGTTCCCGTCATCATTCGCTCGTCGATTAAGTTCGCACGTTTCGATCAAACGGTCACTCGCCGAGTGAGTTGAGGGAAAATTTCTAGCTTTCCAGCTGCACGCGAGATAACTTCCGATGATAAATGGTCAATTGCGAGAAGTACTTGCGCTCTCCTCTTCCCTCAATGTTGCGTCAAAAGTCACGAATTCGTGCGATCACGAAACGATACGTTACTAACGATGGCACGTTAATCAATTTTTGTCTACTCCTCGCGTCGCGCCGCGTCGCGTCAAGTTTCTTTGGTTCCTTTGGTATTACGCTGCTCTCTCCGAGAGCGCGATATACGCAACACCGATCTCACCTGCATTGTGTAGCACACACGCGACTTCAGCGTCACACACGTTTCGCTCTTGTCTCTTTCTAGACTCCAAGACTCTCACGCGTGTTTAGACAGATCGCGCGTGTGAGTGCGCAATCATTGTCAGCGGCCAACGCTGAGCGATGAAATACGCGTGAAAAGACCAAAGCTGAAGAGAACGAGGCGGCAATCAAAAAGCGGCTTATTGCTTTATTTTTTTCCGTCCGGACTTTCTCCGTCAATAATCCGACTCCATCGTGCATCGCACATATGTGTGTATATGCGTATCGATTACCCGGCATTTCCCGCCTCTTACATTCATTATTGCGTGTCCCTCCCTCTCTCTATCTCTCCTCCGCCGCGACACACACCCCTTTCGCACCCCCCATCGTCGAATCGATCGAGGGTTGAATTTGGTAGTAATAACAGACATCCCGGCGGCTGTCCTTGACGGGTTGAACGCGAGACCCGACAATCGCACCTTTCTCCCTCTCCCTCCCTCCCTCCCTCTCTCTCTCTCTCTCTCTCTCGCGCGCGCGCGCGCACGCCAATTCTCTCGTCTTTGGCAGACTCCGGATTCGTCGTGCTTCAAGGCACCACGTACTGGACGGACCTGTTTGTCCGGCACTTCCTCTTTCAAGCGGAGCACACCATCGACGGGGACGATCTGCTCTTCTTCGTGCGCAAGAAGCACGTGAAGACGTCGTCGAGGTACCTGCCGAAATTCGAGACCGAGGTCGACGTGTTTCGCAAGGACAGCAAGAAACTGCCGATCGGCGATCCCGACATCGATTGGGAGGAAACCGTGTACCTGAATCTCGTCGTGCATCAGTTCGACTACACTCTCACCTTAGCGATCTGCACGAGAACAAGTCCCAAGGAGCTGCAAGTGAGCGTTTATCGGCTGCCGGCGCGGGCGGCGCCACTCGGCGAGCGCTCGTCGCCGTCGGCGCTTATCTCGGTGTAGCAGATTGGCGGATATTGGCGGTAGAATCCCATGGACTCGTGTCATCATTGTGCATGACGACGCGTCTAAAAATAATTTCAATCGAGGAGATTCTACCGCTGAATGTAGAACCCTCGCGAGACTTCTCTGCGCGCCTCGCCGCGAATTTATCCCTCGCGTTCCTTTATCCCGCGCCGTGGAGATTACTATTAGTGTGAGTTTTTCTCCATACGCGCGGACAACAATCTCTCTTTGTTATTATCAACTTTCTACTTTTCGTTATTATCATTGTTAAACCGGAGAGGAAAATTTTCCTTTGGGAGCACGATACAAAAATGATTACACTCGCTTCACCGCAATTGAGAGAGGAAAGTTCGCGATCTACGAAGTAACGTGAAATATACGTCGAGAGCTTGAGACTCTTCTTGTACGATTAACGTGTCTTATATTTATATACAGGATGTCTGGGATCTTTTGGCGAGAGGAAAAATTATGAAGATTAGTCAGATGAAACTGAGAGGAAGAAGAGTGTCATGCATACCATTTTGCAAAAATCGCAATAATTATCAAGTTATTATAATATGATTGAAAATGACCGCATTTTTCACAGAAGCTCTTTTACTTTGATAACTTGAAAATTTGCGTATTTATTTAGAAAATGGTAAAGAACTTCTTTTTTCTTGTTCAGAATGACTTGATCTAACGAGAGGTTCAAGATTCAGGGTTCAAAGTTCAGTGTACTCGTATCTGTCGCTAGACACAATAGCCGTCGTATAATTGTAGGTTAGGTCATTCTGAACGAGAAAGTCTTTTATCGTTTTGCAAGTAACTACGCAAATTTTCAAGTTATCGATTAAAAGAGCCTCTAGATGTGATCATTTACAATCATTAATAACTCAATATAAACTTCTCGCAAAATGGTACTTGACTTTTCTTCTCAGTTCGATCTGATTAGTCTTCGCAATTGTTCCTTTCCCCAAAAGATCCCGGACACCCTGTGTATCACATCGCCAGAGAACGAGAATCTCGCGCGAGCACAGCGTCTCCTTTCAGGTGCTGCGCAGGCATTCGCAGAAGGTGTACGCCAGTCCGAGTCGGCGGCGTATGGACGCAAAGGGCGACCTCGAGGAGATGACTTACCCGCACATATGCTTCATGGTGGATAATTTCGACGAGGTTTTCTGTGATATTCTAGTCAGGGATGGGGAGATGGTGTGCGTGGAGCTGGTCGCTTCGGACAGGGAGGGTGCGGTCCAAGGTGTTATATTCCTCGGCTCCATCAGATACGACGCTCTGAAGAAGGTGTACGACGCGAGGGTGAGCACACCCTCGGCGCATCCAGCTTGCATGTATGCATGTGTGTGTGTGTGTGTGTGTAATAACGTCTGATTTTATTTTTAGTCGAGTCTCAGCACCAAAATGGCGCAGCGGATGACGTTTGGCCTTTTCTCCGGCGCGGCTTCGCAGAGAATAGAGTTCGTGCGGATGAAGGGACCACGTGGTGTGTATATCTCATCAATTAAGGGACTCCTGGGTGCTCGCGGGTGGTCTCGTTGGATAGTGACGTCAGAGACGAGAAATGACGCGTTGAAGATTCTCGGTTGCCGTTTGCCGAGTGTAAAGATATCCGCGGGAAGAAATGCTTCAGACACGCACAGTGTGTTCAGCGTTTAGCGTTTTGCAAGCATGTCCCAGCGACGACTTGAAGTATTCTCTCGTACAGGTGTGTTTTTTTTATCGGAGGTGGCACGTGCGTTTTCTCGCCTCTAACGTCATCAGTCGAGAGTTTCGCGGCGCGAGGAAGCCTAGCG